AGCTCAGTTGAGATCAAGAGTGAGGCAGCTAGAATCATCAATGAGCATTAAACAAGAGCAAGTATAATGATATTTATTGATTTCTCTCTTCCAATCATCCTTTGTTAATAGGTTTACATGGAAAAGGCTTTGCAGGTGCCTCCTGACAAAGTTCGCCAAAAGCTCCTGCAGGCCACACAAGTTATCATACAGTTAGTGAAAGAAAGAGAGGAATGGAAGATCAAAGAAGAAGAACTGACTACATTAGTAAATCAACTGCAGCAAAGCATTAGGCAGAATGAAGAGGAATCGTTAGTAGTTAGCCACACAGAGCAGGAGAATGTACCGCCATCCCATGAGATAAAGGCAGAGTCGTTTGGTAGTTCTGTTCCTGGAAATGTCTCATCACTTCAGTCTAAAACTCATCAAAAAAGCATTCCTATTCCTTCTGGTCACATGTCTTCTTATGAGGGACTTTCAAAACTACTAAAGTCCAGGCCACTCTCTTGTAGACTCGATATACCTGAAATACTCACTCCTCAAAAACCTGTTCAGGACCCACTGTCACCAAAAAGAAAACCTTCACCGGACCCAGTGCCAGCAACTGCTCATGATAGTGTCTCACTGTCTCCATTGAGATTCTCAGACTCCTCTTATTCCAGTGGTATGCAGGGACTTCAAAAAGCACTTCAACTAATAGATGGAGCTACAGTTAGTCCAACTCTTCCTTCATTCTCTCATAGCTGCAAGTCATCAACTCCTCTGAAGGATAGAGTTGATGATGACGAGATTAAAGAGGACACTGGCACTGCTTTCATGATGGTTGAGGGTAGGAAAGTTCCTCACGGTATTACGAGAAAGAGCAAAGTCACTTACGCTGCTCCTCGACTTAAAAAATCATCAAAACCAAAAATTAGAAATTATAATAATAAGGATGATTTATAGTGAACTATATAATGTAGATTCTATTGTGTATTATAAATTTAAATATTTTAAAGTACATCACAAGTATTTTTTTGTATAAAGTGATTACAAACAGAAACGTAATAATAAAAGTTCTTAAAAATAATAATTACAAAGTCATAAACTACATCAAATGAACTAAACTATATATACATAAACTATATGAAGATTATTTAATATAAGTTCATAAAATAAACAGAATCAGTAATTTTTCCATTTTCATCCTTTCCTCCTATGAGCAAAACCTGATCTTCCAATGTAACTGCACATGAATCCGTTAAAACTATTGGCAACTCCCCAAGTTCAATCCACGAGATTGGACCCTCCTCTCTGCAGAGCGAGTATATCTTCCTCGTCCCTCCTGCCCCAATAACAACAATCATGTCATTAATTGTAACGACTGCTGAGTGCGCTCCTTCACCATTGCCAGGTTTCTGAATGGTCTTCATGTATGAAATGCTACCATACTTTTGAACTGCAGAGCTAGCTAACATTTTAAATTTTAATCGCACGTTCTTTGATCGAACACTCGGATCCATATCTCCCCCTAGTAAGTACCAGCTTCCTTTATGTAGAATACTTCTCACTGAGCTTCTTTCGCTGAGCAAAGAGTGAGCAGTGTGCCATTGTGCAGTTGGTGCATGAAACACTTCAATGGATCGCAGGTTGGATTTCGCATCTCTTCCTCCAGCTACTGCAATATTTTGATCTTGGCTTGCAACACTAGCCTGTGCACGAGCTGTTAGCATAGGAGGAATGATATCATCGCGTAGAAAATGGTTTCGCTCATCGATGTACAGGGAGTAAACTCGAGCTGAATATTTTTGTTGATTGAAGTCGAATCCACCAACAACTAGGAGCTGGTTCTGAAAGACAGTCAAAGCAAACAAGTGGACAGGACTTTTAATGAAGACCTGCCAGTTATCGGCCCTAATGTCATACTCCAGTATATAATCCGCTCCAGTGGGTACATCTTGTCCACCAACCATGACCTTATTCCGGTACAATACTGCCTGGGCATTGGTGATTGCCACTGGTAATGATGCACACTTTTCAAAATTCACTACACAACCAGGCACTGATGGGCGATACTACATATATAAAGCAATTTAATATAAGATTATAATTTTTGGCACTTACTATCATTGATCTTCTTTTAACTTTTTTGTTGACGCTTGGTGAGTACTGGCTGTATTGTGTATTTGTGTTTTCTGATATTGACTCTCTTATTGCAATGATTGCATACAAATTGGTAGTAGCTGTCAAAGAGTCTAAAGCTTTTGCTTTTGTATTTATATAAACACCATTAACCTAGGTTTTAAATTTATTTATTATAGCTGTTTTATAAATCCAAAATACTTACAGAAACAATGCAGTCTCCAGCCTTTAGTCTACCATCTTTTTCTGCTAGCCCACCAGGAGTTATTTTTGTAATAAACACGGACTGAATTATAAAGGTATTATGATTTATAAAGAACTTGTATTAATGCTTACTTGCTCCTTATCATCATACATTGCTCCTTGTCCTTCTTCTATATTAAACCCTAGGGTCTGATCTAAGCTTTCCTTGAGCAATTCAACTATTATCTAAAAGAATTGCTTCACTGTCATATTATGCTTACCGAATAAAATAACAACTCACCTTTTTTCTATTAATTTCTAAGATATTGGCTTGAGTAGCAGCATCCTTCATCTCAACAGTTTCATCATCATTTCCAATAACAGTTTCTTGCATTTCTATTCCATTGTTGCTATCATGCATCAAGCCCTCTCTTAGTATCTTCACTTCCATGGACAGCCTTCTTGACTCTTTTTGACTCTCTTCCAGTTCCTTGACCACTTCTTCCAATTGGTGCTGGTCATTTGGAATGGCTATTAAAAATGACATAATTGTTAGATGCATTCTCACAACAGATTAGTAGTGATACATTAGGGTACATAAAAACATTAGAGTAACCGTACAATAGACTTACTCCTTTTTGTTATGATATGGTCCTACAACAATGAATCATATGAGATATAATACATACTTATACATACCTTCTCCTTTTTCCAGTAAATGCTGCCATCAATTGTCAGTTCAACCAGACCCCTCCTCTGCATTAACTCCATAGCTGACTCTGGCACAAGTACAGAAGCTGACAAGTATTTGGGAAAGAGGCAAGTGACCAGGAGCATGTCATCAATCTCTTTGATGTTAACGAGTTGAACACTTTTTGCTAGCGAACCAAACGAGGTAGAAATGGCATCTTTGATGAATTGAAGTGTAATGTGGTCTGGATTCTGATCTATAATCATTTCAATGGCCAAATCATTTTTAAGGAGCTGAGTGGATCTAGACAGAAAAAATTTCTCATCTAAAACATTACGGACTGTTACATATCGGCACAACTCTTTAATATTGGTAGTAAAACTCTGTATATGTATTATAGCACTTGCTACATCAAATTCTTGAACAACAGCCTCCAGGTAGTTGATATCAATCAATGTGCATTTGTCGCACACAAACTCTAAAACACCCTTGGTATCTTGCTTTGATATATCAGGTATGTAGCCATCTGAATATGCTTTGACAAATTTCTTCAAATCTTCAAGGGTAAATCGATGCTTTTTGATAATTTTACAAATTAAATCAAAATCTTTCTCAAAAATGGCTCGTATTCCAGCAAAATTTTCATTAGCAGCTATAATTTCTTTTGAAACTGTTCCTGTAACAATAAAGGATAAAATATTTACATAATTATTAATACTGTTTGATTCTCTCCTGGATCTTGCAAAACTGTCTTGCTCTATATGCTCTTCTACAACAAACAATGTATAGTAAGAAACTGCACAGTTTGTTTTAAATGTACACTTACGATAGTCTTTCAATAAATCTTTTGATATGGCATCATATTCAGCTGTTTTCAATGCATCAATGAACGTTTTTAAGTGTAGATGATTACTTGAAACTGCTTTGCGGACAGCTTTGAGTAGTATACCCCGGGAATCTTCAACGAGAGATTGGTGTTTGATATCAGTTGAATCATTTTGCGAGATAACTCTTCCACCACAAAGAATATTTGCAATTACCTTTGTATCATCCAATAGCACTGCAAGTTTAGCATAGTGATATCTTAGAATACAGCTTGCTTTCTCCTTGGGGCATACTTTAGTACTCCAATCTGGTGAAGGATTTTCTACTTCTTCAATTTCTGCAGAATCAGTAACTATACATTAAATATAGGGAATTTGGTTAGGTGGATGATCTGTATAAATATGAGATAGATGTATTAAATTTATTTTTAATTTTTTAAATAGATAATGTCTAGTGGACTAGCTACATGTATCTAGACTACTCTCTTTACATTATAATCAAGAGTAGATCTATAAACAGATATTATCATAATACTACAAGTAGACTAGCTACCTCTTAGTTGATTTGCAAGGGGGGAAGTTTCTTCAAACTGCAAAAAGGCATCAGCCAGCAGGTTCAGCTTCTCCCCTTTAATTTTGATGGCGTAGGTTAGGGCTTTCATCAAGACCGTTTTTCTTCCCTCGGTGCTTTTGCCTGACCCTTCTATCTCGTTTAACGTTTTGTCACTAATACAGCCAAAACTGTAGAGGAGCTGTGACATTGTCACTGGATACAACCCCAGAGCTTCATCAATCTGCAACATATATTTTTGGAAAGCATTTTTATATACGTTTGTGCTACGATCTGCATCTGTGGTGTCTGTCATCTTCTTCTCTTCAAGCTATCGCGATCGCTTAAGAAGCTGGAGGTGGGGCTTATTATTTGCATTATGCATAGAATATAGACATCTAAATAAGGATGATTATAATAATAAATGAGGAATTGAGCCTTATTGAGGATGAATTAAAATAAAATTAAATAATAATTTTTATTATTGTTATACACTTTGATTTTATGCCAGTTTTGTCTGTAAGGACATCAAATAAACTGAATTAGTATTCCCTCCATATTCGTCTTTTCCTCCTATCAGCAAAACCCGATCTTCCAATGTAACTGCACATGATTCCATTAAAACTATTGGCAACTCCCCAAGTTCAATCCATGAGATTGGATCTTCCTCTCTGCAGAGCGAGTATATCTTCCTTGTCCCTCCTGCCCCGATGACAACGATCATGTCATTAATTGTAGCAACTGCTGAGTGTGCTCCTTCACCATTGCCAGGTTTCTGAATGGTCTTCATATACGAAATGCTACCATACTTTTGAAGTGCAGAGCTAGCTAACATTTTTAATTTTAATCGCACGTTCTTTGATCGAACACTCGGATCCATATTTCCCCCTAGCAAGTACCAGCTTCCTTTATGTAGAATGCTTCTCATTGAGCTTCGGCCACCAAGCAAAGAATGAGCAGTGTGCCATTGTGCAGTTGGTGCATGAAACACTTCAATGGATCGCAGGTTGGATTTCGCATCTCTTCCTCCAGCTACTGCAATATTTTGATCTTGGCTTGCAACACTAGCCTGTGCACGAGCTGTTAGCATAGGAGGAATGATATCGTCGCGTAGAAAATGGTTTCGCTCATTGATGTACAAGGAGTAAACTCGAGCTGAATATTTTTGTTGATTGAAGTCGAATCCACCAACTACTAGGAGCTGGTTTTGAAAGACGGTCAAAGCAAACAAGTGGACAGGACTTTTAATGAAGACCTGCCAGTTATCGGCTCTAATGTCATACTCCAGTATATAATCCGCTCCAGTGGGTACATCTTGCCCACCAACAATAACCTTGTTTCTATACAATACTGCCTGAGCATTGCTGATAGCCACTGGTAATGAGGAGCATCTTTTGAGATTCATCGCAAAACTTGGCGCTGATGGACGATACTAAAGTATAATGAATGATTATATACATCATTATATTCAGTATATTGACATATACCTTGATTGGTCTCCTTATGACTAGATTGTTTTTTCTCTCCAGGCTTGGTGATGAGCACTGGCTTTGCTCTGTATTTGTGTTTTCTAACATCGATTCTCTTATTGCAATGATTGTGTACAGACTTGCAGTGGATGTTAATGCAGCTAAAGTCTCTGCTTTTGTAGTCATATTCACCCCATTAACCTAGAAAATTAATTATCATGTAGTACTAAAATCAAAGAATTCAATAGTCTATAGAATACAGGGTCCAAGGCCAAATTTTGTTTAAAAATGGCTAGAAATAAAATTCTCAATTTTTATAATTTTTTTGATACATAACACATGCTATTATGTCATTCAAACATTCACTAAGCTAGCTTACAGAAACAATGCAGTCTCCAGCCTTTAGTCCACCATCTTTCTCTGCTAGCCCACCAGGAGTTATTTTTGTAATAAACACGGCCTGCAAAATAAAAGTACTATGATTCATGATAAAGAACTTTTATTAATGCTTACATGTTCCTTATCATCATACATTGCTCCTTGTCCTTCTTCTATTTTAAACCCGAGGGTCTGATCTAAACTTTCCTTGAGCAACTCAACTATTATCTAAAAGAATTGCTTCGCTGTCATATTATGCAGTCATTGAATAAAAATAATATTACCCTTTTCCTCCCAATGTTCCAAATATTGGCTTGAGTAGCGGCATCCTTCATTTCAACAGTATTATCATCATCTTCTCCAATAACAGTTTCTTGCATTTCTATTCCATTGTCATTATCATGCGTCAAGCCCCCTCTTAGTATCTTCACTTCCATGGACAGCCTTCTTGACTCTTTTTGACTCTCTTCCAGTTCCTTGACCACTTCTTCCAATTGGTGCTGGTCATTTGGAATGGCTATTAAAAATGATGTAAGTAGTGCTATAGATGTTTATCACTGTAGATGAGTAGTGATAAATTAGTAATAATCTTTTAGTGATTTCATGCATGCATAAATTAATATATGCACAATAGTACACACTTACTCCTTTGTATTATGATATGGTCCTATACAACAATAGATAGTAGCATCATCACAATGTTATGATCATACTGTATATACTTACCTTCTCCTTTTTCCAGTAAACGCTGCCATCAATTGTCAGTTCAACCAGACCTCTCCTCTGCATTAGCTCCATGGCTGACTCTGGCACAAGAAGAGAGGCTGACAAGCAGTTGGGAAAGAAGCAAGTGACCAGGAGCATGTCATCAATCTCTTTGATGTTGACGAGTTGAACACTTTTTGCTAGCGAACCAAACGAGCTAGAAATGGCATCTTTGATGAATTGAAGCGTAACGTGGTTTGGGTTCTGGTCTATAATCATTTTGATAGCCAAATCAGTTTTGAGAGGTTGGTTGGATCTTGATAGGAAAAACTTCTCCTCCAGAACATCACGGACCGGCACGTATTTGCACAACTCTTCAATGTTGGTATTAAAACACTGCACAAGTACGACAGCTCTTTTTACTTTGAATTCTCGAACAACAGCCTCTAGATAGTTGATATCCATGAATGTACATTTGTCATATACTAGCTCAAGGACATCATTACTGGTCACACAATCTGATATTTGAGGAAGGTAGCCATCTGAATACTTTTTGACGAATTTCTTCAGATCTTCATAGGGGAACCGATGAAGTTTGACGTTTTCACAGATGGTTTTAAATAATTTATCAAAAATGGCTCGTATGCCAGTGAACTTTCCATTAGCAGATATAATTTCTTTTAAGACTGTGCCTGTAAATTAAACATAGAATTATTATTTTCACAATTAATATGCATGGTTTACTGTTTGATTCCCTCCTGGAGCTTGCATAACTGCTTCGATCAATTTGCTCTATAAACATTGTACAATAATACATGATTTGTTTCAAATTATTCTTCACACTTACGATAGTCATTCATTAGTTCTGCCACTAATTCATCATATTCAGCCTTTTCCAATGCGTCAATGAAACTTTTTAGGTGACGGTAGTTTCTTGAGACTGCATTGCGAACGGCCTTGAGCAATACAGCTCGAGAATCTTCAGCAAGAGACTGCTGTTCGACATTACTTACGGTGGCTTTTGTTATAACCCTGCCACCGTAAAGAACATTTGCAATCGTCTTTGGGTCTTCCAGCTGTGCTGAGAGTTTACCGTAGTGCGACCTTAGGATATAGCTTGCCCTCTCTTCATAGGTCTTTCTGCTCCAATCTGGTGGGTTTGGCACTTCTTTCTCTGCAGAGTCAGCGACATCAGAATCTATGCATAAAAGAGTTAAAGAAATCAGGAAGGAAGTTTACACACAAGGTGGATCACCTTAAAATAATCAATATTGACACAAACATAGCTCAATTAGATTAATTATAACTGATCTAGATTTAGATTTAATGCCAAAAGATCCTACCTCTTAGTTGAGTTGCAAGGAGGGAAGTTTCTTCAAACTGTGAAAAGACATCAGCCAGCAGGTTGAGCTTTCTTCCGTCGAATTCTACAGCGTATTTCAGAGCCCTGAACAATACAGCTCTTCTTTCTTCGGAGGTTTTGTTTGGTGCTTCCGTCTCGTCTAAAGTATTCTCACTGATACAGCTAACGTTGTAAAGGAGCTGGGACATCTTTACTGGATAAAGGAGAGCTTCATTGATCTGCTGGTAGCGGTCCCTGAACGTGCGTTCATTCTCACTGTCACTAGCCATCATGTACAAGCTCAAATGAAAACTGGAGGTGGGGCTCATTCTTAGCATAACTCACTCAAAATAGAATCACCTCTGGCGAGTCAGTGGCTTTCTACAACAACAGCAATAATATCTGGATTTCTTGTAATTTGTACATCTTGCTATGCAGCCCAAAGACTCCTTTGATTAAAAGTAATCTAATAAATCCACTCACAGAATAACGATATAACAGTAACAACAACAAAACAACAAGTATCAATACAAACGAATACATAGTATGTATATTTATCATTAGTATTTATATTTTATCTGTGAAATACTACAGTTGGGTTCTACTTGACTCCTTTAAGTACATACGGTAAACAGCATCAGTGTCCTTCCCGTCTTCATACCTTCCACCGATCACCAAGACCTCTTCGTCTGATATGGTCACTGCACACGAGTGACTAAGAGGATCAGGTAGTTCCCCTACCTCAAGCCAGGAGTAAGGATCCTCACATAAAGCATATACCGTCGACGTTGGGTCAGAGAGATCCTCACTGTCACGATGAGCCCCACCAATTGTCACTATCTTTCCGCCACTGAGAGCAACAGCACTGTATGTATTAGGGAGAGAGGGTATGGCCTTGAAGCACGATACACTACCAGTCTTGTGACAGGCGGAGTCTATGAGGGACTGGAGAGGAGTGTAGATTGAACGAGAGGTTGGGAAGCCTTGCTGCTCTCCGCCGAGTAGATACCAAAACCCGTTATGACAGAGCCCCTTCATAGAGCTCTGTTCCAACGTGAGGGGATGAGCAGTGTACCACTGCTGCGAAGCAAAATTAAACACCTCCACACAATTGAGAGTGTTCTTATTGTTCCTTCCGCCAGCAACCACTAGGCTTGTTCCCAGACTCACGACTGCTGCGTGCATACGAGCTGTAGGCATTGGAGTAAGGGAGCCAAGCCAGGATCCCTCCATCTCGTTCCAAGCAAACAGTTGAGCTGAGCAGCTTTGAGTCGCAGAGTCAAATCCACCGACAACCGTCACTTTGTCTTGAAACACAGTCAGCCCAAAGAACCACACAGGCGAGGTTGTTAGCGTGTTCCATGAGTCTTTCTCCGGATCATATTCAAAGATGCTTCCGGAATTATTTGAATAATGTCCACCGACTATGACTTTGTTCTTGTATAGGACCGCCTGGCCATTGCTGATAGCCTCGGGCAATGGGGCACATTCCTCAAATGCCATTACTACTCCTAACTTTAGTGGATGGAGCTATAGAAATATAAAAAAATAAAAATAAAAATTTAAATAGCATATATAATTAGCATAATAAGGTATGATGCTTCAATTAATTTACAATTATTCTAAATTTGCAACTTGGAATATTTATTTTACGAGATAATCACACTTTACATTAATAACACAATGTGTAATTGATGGCCTTATAGTCCCATATGCCACTCAAAAACTCATTACAAAATGGGCAAGGAATTAAATTATCGAAATCAAAAACCAATCATTGATTATTACCCTATCAGTGCTGGCACTCTTTGATGGTCGACGCCTTGAGCCAGCAGTTGAGAGTCTCTGTCGTCTTACAGGTTGAGGCTCTTCAAGGGAAGGATCTATAAGAACTTCTTCTCTAGTGACGACCATTGTACACACATCCCCAGAGCTCATCAGAGCTGAGAGTGCATCCGGTCTAGTAGCACTAGTCATATCGACTCCATTGACCTGTGAATTAATGAATAAATTTAGAAAATAAATAAATATATACAATATATACTATGCTGTCATTGCAGTGAAAAAAGCTTGTATAAAATTGTTAGTGTGAACAAGGCCTTGTTCACACATTAGAGGTGTGAACAAGGTGTCAAAAAGTTAATAAACTATTTTTTACACCACAATACAAATTTTTACACTACAATACAAATTTTAGTAATAAAGCTAGGCACCAAACTCAGTCAAGCCTCAAATACAAGTCAACTAATCTACATGTGATAGAATGAAACCTCAACAGTGACCAAAACAACATACACTGTACAATAAAATGCCAATAGAAAGAAACCACATCGACATAGTCCATTAACAATCGCCGAAATATTTACAATATTTCCGCAAGGAAGAATCCAAAGCATTATAATTCTTCGCTTCAATTCAATACAGCAGCAGTAGAGGGTCATTGAACAAGCTAACGAGTAATGCAATGCTAAGAATCTTAATTAAAATGGCATACAGTAATAATAATATAAAATCATAATCAACTAAATAGACCAGCTGTGCATGTACTTGTGCGCTCAGAGAAAAGAGAGAGAGAGGGGAGGAGGAAAGTATAAGAGAGGAAGACAATTGGATAGTTAGCTACAGCACAATCCCACACAAATAGTATTTAACAAAACAATTACCAAAACTAAACCAACACAAGAAAGGCACATTTGATACCAGCTGAATTATAATCTAACAGAGAGACTGAGAGTTAGTTGTGCCTGCTACCACAGTAACTATAACACAATTAATATTAATCATCATGTACTGTAAATAGTAATTAAGATCTTGTTTGTGTACACATTGTACTATAATTACTGATAGGTATGCCTAATATTTTGGTTTGAGTATGCTGTTATTGTCTATCCTTTACATTAAACTCCAGTACACAAACTCTCTTTCACTTTTCCTACCTATAGATGCTAATCTCAAAGACTATGCGCATGTTTGCCTACAAGTCTGGTCATAATAGAGTTCAAAAGAGGTTATACCACACATCGTCCACAAGTTCTTTTGTGCATATAATCAAAAGTAGATATACATGTAATTCCAGTGTAGTTTATGGGCATACACACCCTTCCTTCATTAGATTAGCGTGATCATTAACCTTCCCTCTCACTCATTTACTCACAAGTTAGCACTCACTTTCTGTTCCCTTTCTCTCATTCTCTCAATCATACCATTATCAGTTTGTCTCCAGGCTTTAGTCGCCCGTCTTTTTCAGCTAGTCCACCCGGAGCTAGTCGCGTTATGAAGATACTCTACAAACACCAAAATATTGTTTAATTTGTTGTAATTATTTTTGAGACAAAAATGATATAAATTAATTATTGCAACAGGTGTATTTAGATTCCAGACATATTCACACCACATGTCATGAAAATGCAAATGCCCAGACTATATATGTGTATCATTTCCTTTCTAACTCTCCTCAATAGCTGACCTCATCTCCTTCCAATAGTGTTGAGGCTGCACCTTTTCCTCCAGTTATACTAAACCCAAAACTCTGGTCAGAACTCTCCTTGTGGAGCTCGATATAAACCTGTAGAGAATATTTAAAAGGATCTATGTCACTCACGCCTATGGTTGCAATTTGTATTATATCAAACAAATTTACAGCTTAAACTGCTAAGTGTAGTGTTTTACCCTTTGCAGTGCTAAAGCTGTCTTAATTACTTATTAACAAGTGCACAGTAGTGCTCTCGCACAAGCTATGAAAGGGAGGATAATATCATCAGACACCTCAAGAGACAAAAGATAAAAGTATTATCAATTGACTGATGCTACAAGCTTCATACACTGTGAGAACAAAAAGCTGATAATTTGATTAAAATCAAGAGGCACTATCCCAACGGCTGGCCAACTGCCAATAGAATTAAACTACAAACTTTATTATGTTCCGTCTAAAAGTCAAAACTATTCTGCGCACAGTATTGGCTATATGGTATACTGAACACTTTGTTCACAACACAATATTTTTTGCTCTACTAACACAGATCAGCTCTTTCTTATGTACTGCTGGCCTGGACTAAAAACAAACACAAGGAAAACAATTGTTGTGTTACCTTTTGATGATTGAGTTGTATAATGCTAGCCTGAACTGATGCATCCTTTGATTCAACTTTCCTTCCCTTTCCACCCTGCTCCTCTTCTTCACCTTCACTCTCATCCTCCTGTCCAAAGAATGCTTGCTGAGCACGCAAATGACGCAACTCAGACTGAGTCACTTTCAGCTGTGCCTTCAAACGAGAGTTCTCCGTTTCAAGTCTTTTCATGCGAACATCTTTCGGCGAAGGAGCTGTCTCTTTGACGCTCTCAGAAGAACCAAGAACAGCAGTGAGGATCTTGAGAGGATCTTGAAATGGAGTTCGTCTAGTCGTAATGGACATCTTGACCTCTTGCACAATCTCCGAGGCCGTCGGCCGTAGAACCGGGTCTTTCTGCAAGCACTGCATGATAAGACCTCGAAGCAAATGGTTTCCATCAATCCTTTCCGTTTGTTGCAAGAGAGATGGAGACTGGCCCGGACCGATTCTCTTAGGACGCTGCTGTGTAATGACATGCACCATGAGCTCGCCTAGCGAGAATATGTCATCCTTGAAGCCTCTGTTACTGATACCAGTGAATGCAGACGAGATGTGGTAGCCGTTACTGCTGCTGTTCAATTGAGCCTGCAAGTGCGACGTAAATGAGATATCACCTGATTCAACGTTTCCCCCGGCAGTGTCGTCAAAGACAGAATATATTGGAGGATAGGATAGTTTAGCTGTTAGACTAGGAGTAAGAAAGACTGTGCTAGCTGTCAGGTTGCCGTGGGTCAGTGCAGGGGAGGAGCCATGCATCGCCTCCAGGCCAAGAGAGACGTCGTGGATTAAAGAGATTTTTAGAGATTCAGGTAGATTGGGGACCCTGTGGAGGACCTGGTTGAGAGTGGTGTCGAGCTGCTCTGTGAGTATGATTGGAAGGAGGTTGGTCTTGGGAAAGACCACACCAAGGAACTGGAGAATGTTAGGGTGTCTTAGCTTTGCAAAGCGATGAGTCTCCTCGGCTAGCCTCTCAGTCAAAGACATCGAGTCTTTGTCCTCTTCGTTGTCTTCTGTTCCTGGCTGCAATAAACGGCTCGCCTCCTCTTCGTTTGTAGGCAAGACAGCAACGGCCTGGAGCCCACCGCCTATAGTTACCTCGCTAAGGGTGAAAGAAGGAGTCCGCCTAAGCTCTCGTCCAGTGTACTCAACTGAAGTATCTAAGATAAGGTCCTGGAGCCAGTGGCGGAGCTCTGCTTCTGGGCTGTTTAGTGAACGAGAAGACGCCATTGTACTGGGTGCTTTTATATTGCTTCTTTGCACACCAGATCTTTCTGTTGTCTTGCTTGCAGTAGAGATACAGTTGGTGCTTCTGCTAACAGGCTCAAGGAAGGAGAGGAGGCTCAGAGAAAAACAAATAATGCTCTTTGTTGCAATCCACAACTTATGAATAATGTCTAGTTATTAATATTCATGAGCATCCGCCTTTTTATTACTGGTGATAATAGATGTCATACTAACACATACTAAATACAGTACTGATGAAAACTGTAATATGTGAGATTGAGGTCTATGCATGGTCAATGAGGAAGGAAGAGGTTTCTTTGTCCCGGTTGGTTGGCGCTTCTTCGCATTATACAGCACCTGGATTTAAAAGAAGAAGAAAAACCTACAATATCTCTCTTACCATTTGTGAGGGTAATAATTGATGAGGTATCTCTATGCATGAACCAAAGTTAAGTAAATTTCATCATAATCCATTTATACAGGGAACCACATTTTGTATATTGTGTAATTGTAGGGCTGAACTATGTCCAACCACATTGACAACACCTGCCATGTAGTTTTTGTCATCAGAAGCCATTGATGTACGTATTGAGAAGCGGTTAGAGTTGAAGACAATGCAAAGGATATCACAGTGATTTTTGTACACAATCACTGCTTTGGAGGAGAAAAAGAGAGAAAGAAGATTGAGAAAGAAAGGAGAGGGAAAACAATCAATGATAAGAGTAGGAGGAAAGAATTGTAGAAACAAGTTTGACTAGAAGCCTTGATACAATAGACTACACAGTAACCAATAAATAAATAAACAACCACAGAGTAGCAAACCACAGTGATTTCATTACCCTTTAATAACACCTGGAGACAAGGATAGAAGTATGGGACAGGAACAAATTATAAATTATAACTCTTGATTATAATTATTTCACAACATATAGTGAGCTTAAACTAATCATAAACTACGGTTTAGACATATGCACATACACACACATCACACACACACTCTCATTTAGACATTCACACATTAATCTTGTGTACCCGTGAGGTACAAGTTGTTACTAAAAAGGTGTGTATACTCACTTGTTTTGACTGAGCAATAGCTGATATAGTGTTACCCATACCTAGCAATGATTATAATTGTAACGTCTCTCAGTTACTACCTCCTACTCTCTCCCTCCCCTGAACTCCTACTCACTACTCTCTTCCACTCCTTCTCTCACAATTACCTTTTTTGACAGTTTGGTTAAAATCTAGCTCCTACAACTTGTTTTTTTATGGCCACTCTTTGCCAGGCTTCAAGATGAGAATAGGGGTTGCTAATTTTTCCTCTCTTCTTTTACTTCAAATAGACGCTAAATTAAATTACACATTTACAGTAACACAAGGGAAATCTGAAAAAAATAGACGTATACACCTGATGGTTGACAAACTTAATTAGCCATCTGTTGCAAATCGGACATCAATAGGTTGTGAATAGCATTATTTAACTGTTAGTTTACCAATTTTTAGCACTAGTTTATAACCATTATACAGGCAATATGTCACTTGCACAGCTGCTTTTGGTCATCTTATTTCACCATACAAAACCAACGACATTTTGTACCCACGTTAACGCACGTGGGTGTGACCTCTTTTTATAAACTACGTACGTCATTATACGTCACTGTGCCAATTGTACAAGATGAGTTACACTGTTCCTCCAAGAAGACAGGCTCCTGCTGTTTATAGGCGGCAACACAATGCAACAGAGAGAAGTGGACCTTCTACAGATGGTAAACTAATTGACAACTGTTTGGAAAATGTTATAGATCAAAACTAGATGATCAGTTCAGTATAAATTAATTTTCATTTTCACTGACATCATAGTGAAGGCGCATATTCTGTCATGTTGGCCTGGGATAAAAAAGTTGAAATAGTAATTTCAACATTGCACTATATTTTCACTCAATTTCAAACCAATGAACTAAAATGTGCATTAATTTTTGCATTTATGAATATTCATATCACAGTAGAGCTAACTTATAAAACAATATCAGTGGCTGCAAATTTCAAAGCTCATTTCATGTATTTGGTTAATTAGTTAACGCTAGCTGTCAATAAAAGTCCCTTTACTCATACTAAATTCATTGATTCTTAGTTTCACAGGCTAGACTGGTGTTTTCAACTGTTTTGTTAATACCATGGAATGTATGAATATCATTAATTTGTTGATAATTAAATACTATTGCTTTTATTATATAGATCCTCCATCATCTGCTTCTCCTGACAGTGCTAGACCCCAACAACAGCAACAGCAACCAATACACAGGTATATCTTTTATTTGTTTTTAATTATAGTTCATTCCTTTAGCAGTAGAGGCTTTCATATTATATCACCCAATCCCGAAAAGAATGCAAAACTTCAACAAAGTAAGCGCATAAGACCAATCTCTAGTAGGAATTATTGTTCCTCATATAAAGGAGCAAGAGAAGAAGAAGAGGCTTATAGCTCGTACAAAGAAAAAAAGAGAGCAAGTCAGGCTAGCAGATTTGCTGTTTCATCACGATTGGGTATGCCTCCAATGTTGATGTTTTTTTGATCATAATATTTTTTATTTTTTGCTATATATATATATATAGGTGGAGAACGACTTTCTCCATATTCCATTGATGAAATGAGAGAGAGGCAGGAGAGGACAGCAAAAATGGAGGCAAAAAGAGAACCAATAAGAAGACAAGTACGTGTTGTAATACTGCTGTTGTTGTCACAGTATTACTATTACATAATTGTAGTTGTAATTTATGCTTAAGACTAAACAGAATTTAGCCGATTTGATCAAAATTGATTTTTTACAAAATTTTAAAGTTGCTCTAAAATTGGGCAAAAGCCTCTGTACTATAGTACACCAAATTTTGTCAAAAATGGCTAGGAGAGAATTCTCCATTTTTATAATTTTTTTATGATATATATACATGTTTTTATGTTGTCTAGCAAGTTTGAGTTGATTCTAATTAAAATTAGATTTTTTACGAATTTTTAAAGTTGCTCTAAAATCAGGCAAAAGTCCCTGTACTATAGTACACGGTCTCGGGCCAAATTTTGTCAAAAATGGCTAGGAAAGAATTCTCCATTTTTATAATTTTTTCTGATGGATGTACATGTTCTTATGTTGTCTAGCAAGTTTGAGCTGATTCTGATTGAAATTAGCTTTTTTTACGAATTTTAAATGTTGCTCTAAAATCTGGCAAAAGTCCCTGCACTATAGTACACTTTCTCAGGCCAAATTTTGTCGAAATGATTAGAAGAGATTTTTTCACTTATATAATTTTTCTTGATACATATACATGTTCTTATGTTGCGCTGAGTTCTAGTTGAGTCTATTTTTCTAAAAGGAGTGCAATTGAATGCGTAATTGTAATCATTGATCCCAGGCCTGATTTTGATTAATCATGATACTTCTTACTTGATCTACAGATAGAAAGAGAGGAACGTAGAGCTGAACAAATGAGGAAGGAATCAGAAAAGATAGAAGAGCACAAAATGAGGCAAAGAGAAAAGGTGACATACCTATATTAAAGACAAACCTATATTCAAGCCAGCCATCTTTATCCTTTTTGTAACAGAGTGAAAGACTTGAGAGACAAAGAGCACTGACAGAACCAGCAAGACAAGAAGAGATAAGGAGGTAAATTGAACCTTATAAAATTTATATTTAATATTATTTTATAGGAAAAGATTAGAATATCTCGAAAAGAAGTGATACAGTTTTTCGAAATAAAGCTGCATTAATTTTAGTAACTATATATACATCATCTAACAGCCTTCCTGTCGTAACCTCACTTAGCTGTCAGATTATATTTAAAACTGTATAATTATTCATGATTAAAAATACACAAAACAATAATGACAAATTAAAAATCTCCGTAATAATTATTTCCTCATAATAATGTTTCCTGGGAGTCTATAGAAGGTAAACTAGGATTATTATTATTATTAGGAGGATCTTCAAGAGAGGGATCTGAAGATGGCAATAAATCAAATGTCTCTTGAAAGGCGCTGTCAAAAAGCTTGTTAGTCACACTAATGTTGTTACCAGACACCCTGAATGTTCTTAAATCATCAATCGGCTCAGGCGTAGTCCGGATATCATCATAGTCCTTCCTAGGCTGACCTGTTTGTTCGTCAGGTTGATCATGTATAGATGAGGCACGAGCTAATCGAGGTCGATTACCAGCCCTCCCTCCATCAGGTGCAGTTGAGGTATCAATAGGGCCAGTTTGTGTTGGTACTTCAAGTAGTTTGATTGAGTGGGATAGAGGAGAGTAAGAGTGAACCTCTGCAGTCACAGTCAGAGCAGAAGGATCCAAAGAAATTGGAAGACTGCTGGGAGCTAAATATGGAGAGTGAGGATAAGAAAGAGATGATCGCGGCGTGTCCAGGCCTGACTCTTCGCCATCAGCATCCCAACAATCCTCCTCTTTTACGTCAGTCATTCTGCTGTGCAGTCGTGGGCTCCTTCTGTGGGGCTTCTTGCTAGAGGATTTGCTGCTACTAGTTGATGAAGGGCTTGAGCTTTTGTGGCTGCTAGCTTTCTCTGTAGCTAGAAGAGGCTGTTTGCCCTCTGTCGAGGAGGCCTTACCAAAGCTGACTTGGTGAGACGAAGTGAGACTCTTTGGGGTAGAGAGAGAGGTAGCTTTCTTTGATTTCTTTTCAAGAGTAGGAGAGTCGCTTCCGTCTTCTCTGAGACTCAGTGTTGTTGGACGTTGATGCAATAGAGCAGGTCTAATAAAGAAAGCATAATAATGACAATATATAATTATGCTATTATTATTATTATCATTATATAAATCCTAATTTCAACCAAAATTACACAGCACATTACACAAATTCAGCCACACTGTACTTTGTTTTGCTTGCATTCGCTGGTGGCTCAGTTTCTTCAGGGCATTCAGGAGCCTCTACAATAACAGGGAAATTCGGTTGCTTTGAATTGCGTCGCCTGAGAGAAGATTTCCCAGAAAACACTGGAGCTGCTCTTGATTCTTCTAGACCAGATGGCCCCGGGACACCACCAGGTTGGGATTGAGGTATACATTCAGACTCTGTTCCTCCAATGCCTCCATTTTGCAACTGCTTCTCTAGCTTGTTGAGCAGCTCTTGCTTGCTTGGTGTCACAGGATTCAGGGAAGACATTTGAGAGAGACGTCGACACTTTTGTATGCAGCAATTGAGTATGGACCGCACTGGATGAGACTGTTCTAATGTACAGCACTCACTTAAAGATGTCAACTAAAATGAATATATAAGTACAGTATGTATATTTATATATACTCAAGAGTACAAGCTTACTTGATTTTCAATGATAAAGAGCGAGTGCCAGACGACAGTGTAAAATGGAATTCGAGACAACAAAATGAACTGCTCCATGAAATCAAGATGCATGGAACAGAATCTAATGTATGTCTCATTTGTGCTCTCTATAAAAGGAAAGAAAGAGAAAACAAGGGAAAAGATAAAATATATTCTATTATATTTTTATACTCTATCTTACCTCCTGACAGAGATAATGGCTTCAATACAATGTAGTCTATAAAGTCAAAACAAAAGCATAAACAAGCAGACGTATATGCATTTATGTGCACAAAAACTAACCAGTTCTTGATGATACAGTAAATATACTGTTAGCAATCTTGACCCAAATGTCAAGGGAAAACTTGTGACTAAAGGCAGCAAATATAACCTTGAGATCTGCAATGAAGAGAGTCTCATAAAAGAGCATGATAGGGTGCTTGTACAACGTACCAATAAAGAACCTCTCAATCTTGTACTGGTTATTCAATGACCTGTATTTGATAATGGTCTCGATTTGCTCGCCAATCTGAAATATCGTTTCCAATAGGAACAAAGCATCAGCGTCATCCTGTCCCTCACAAACTCCTGTAATGTGAACAAATTTAATACTGTACATCCATTTCATATATAAATGTATTATTTAGCCATTGTGTATTTAAAAAAGCATACAGTTTACATTGAAAAATTTAACTAAAATAAAGAATATACTTTATAGTGTCACGTGCTATTGCATAGAAATGGTGTACCTCTTAATCCAAGATTAATAGTAAGTGGAAGGAACAGTTTCTTCCAGACAAAGGAGCTCTCGGACTCTTTAAAGTGCAATTTACCAGAAAAAAATGTTTGTAGTAATATCCTGCCATAAAGAAAAGAGAGAGAGTGAAACAAGATTAAAGCGTAACGAGGAGTAGGAGTACAAACTTGTTCTTGTTCGATGATTTGTGTGACGCTACTATAATTTCAGTGATGAGTTTGACAACAGTTGAGATGAAAGAAGGCTCGGCATCAAATATAAAAGGTTTTGTTTGACGTGTTGATGCAGAGGTTGCAGTAAATGGTTGAGTAGTGACAACTGATGTCTTTACAGCTAAACACAGATCAACAAGGTTCTAATATTTAAAAGAAAAATATACTAAAATTTGCTCTAAAATTCAATTAAATTACAATAGTGCTAAAGGATTTTACCTTCAATTTGTTTAAGATGAGTTCGCTGTCAAGAAGTGAAGGACACTTGTTGATACACTGATGATAGCTTTCCAACAATGTCTCCATACCACTCCACAATGCTTGAGTTAAAAATGTGCGATCTCTCTAAAAAGAAAATAAAAATAATCAAAAACAATCTTTAAAAAAATATGTACCTGATTTTCGACTTGAACCTTCTTGAACAGCTTGAAAGCTCTTTCCAGCACAATAATGAAGACACTTTTATTTTCTGAGGTCCACTCAATGGCAGGGAAGAGGTCCAATAGAGTACGAGTGAATCCTTTACTGATCAACATGTGGGATGAGTTTGGTTTCATTCCTTGTCTCATTATCTTATCAACGATTGATGCTATGGACTGTGATCAAGGAAGAAAGGAAAATGAAGAGAAATAAAGGAAAGAGATTAATTAAAGACCCTTACATTAATAGTACAAAATGTATAGTGTTTTTTGTGCACATAAATCATCGTTAATTGTATTGTATAATAATCTGCTTACCGTTAGAGATGATAGGTCAAGTGGGCACCTCCTACTAGTGGTGGTACTGGTAGTGTCTTGCTTTGAAGTGTACGACAGAAACTGAGCAGCAATTGAGAGAAGTGAGTCACGAGAAATATTGACAATGTTTGAATGGACATCGTTTATTGTTCGACTCCTATAACCAAGAATTTTACAGGCAATTATTATCAAGAATTATTACAATAGTAATATTACATGCAAGAGTAGTTCAGTAGAATTATAATAATTTACTCTTAATAAATAATAATACAGGAGGACCAGCAATGGGTCCTTGTCTCTAGTGGGTTGCACTCTGAATGCATAGTAACAACCAATGAATATAATTAACATACTTGAATCCTTCAACAATTGTTGTTAGCTGTTCTGCTGGTTCCCCTGGAGGTACGTTCTGTAATTCAGTAGCAGAGCGATCGTGCAAGTCCTGTGATGTCCCAGCACGATGACGAACGAACAACAGTTTCTTCATGTATGCCGACAGCTTAGCATCAACATTAGGATCAACAGAATGATCTACTCCAGGATGAGGATGAGGACCACCTTTTCTCGCTGAACCCAACAACTCAGCTCCTTTAAGAACTTGTGATCTAAATGGCAGAGAGAGAGAGAGAGGGGGGGGGACGAGGGAGGAAACAGAAGAGGAGAGAGTTGAGTAGTGATTAAACACGATCGTAGTATTTATTTATTTTATTTACTTCTTAATGGCGTCACACCCTTTAACCAGGTACTTGACAGTGTTGGCTAAAAGTATGTCATCTTTGTCTTTATTGAGACACTTCTCTCTTAACAGTAATGGCATCAGGTGATCCAAGAACACCTACACACAATCAGTAAACAATATACCCCTTGATATTTAATCATTTCGTAAGAGTTGCACTACTTTTAAAAATGTGTAAATTTCTTTAAAAATCCCTGTACTATAGCCCATGGACTTTTTCCAAAAAATGGCTCCGAAATCACCCCAAATTTTTATTACATTTTTTGATACATATTGATGTACTTATGCTATGTAGAAAGTTTGAGCTGATTCTGACAAATATTTTTCAAGTTATGAGCATTTTTTTAAATGGCCAATTTTTGAAAAATACCCAAGGCTATAGCCCATGGTTTTTTCCGAAAAATGACCCCGAAATCACTCCAAATTTTTATTACATTTTTTGATGCATATTGATGTACTTATGCTATGTAGAAAGTTTGAGCTGATTCCGACAAACATTTTTCGAGTTATGAGCATTTTTTTAAAATGGCCAATTTTTGAAAAATACCCAAGGCTATATATAGCCCATGGTTTTTTCGAAAAATGGCTCCAAAATCACTCCAAATTTTTATTACATTTTTTGATACATATTGATGTACTTATGCTACGTAGAAAGTTTGAGCTGATTCCGACAAATATTTTTCGAGTTATGAGCATTTTTTGTAAATGGTCAATTTTTGAAAAATACCCAAGGCTATAGCCCATGGTTTTTTTCAAAAAATGGCTCCAAAATCACTCCAAATTTTTATTACATTTTTTGATATATATTGATGTACTTATGCTACGTAGAAAGTTTGAGCTGATTCCGACAAATATTTTTCGAGTTATGAGCATTTTTAAAAACAGTGAACTTTTGAAAAATACCCTGTACTATAGCCCATGTTTTTTTCTCCAAAAAATGGCTCCGAAATCACCCCAAATTTTTATTACATTTTCTAATACATATTAATGTACTTATGCTATGTAGAAAGTTTCAGACAAATTCTGACAAAAAAATTCCATAATTATGCCAATGACCCACAGACTTCAGTTACATGTACAATACCCAATACTAGTACATTAATCTTAACTGACTAATATTTGCATTCCTCTCAGTTCCTCTGGATCATAAGCAGCAATGGTAATGCAGAGTGTGAGGATCTGCTGAAGACTGCAGGGAGACCAAGTGCTGCTCTTACCATAATAATCATTAACTGCCTTATGACAGGCACCCTGTTGACAAGAAATAAATAACACAAATGCTATGCATTCTAAAATCATATTACGCATAATTTTAAAATCTATTTTTAATTCATATTTTGATGCCTATGTATGTAGTAGAACTTTTGAGTCATTTCTCACTGTAATTATTTTAATAATAAAAATTTTAAGTAGCATTCACTTCACCAATAATAATTATTATGAACAAGTATAGGATGTACATGTACATGTACAGTACTTACTAGCATATCAATAGGATCATGTGGAAGTGAGTCCTCAGGCGAGTCAAGACACTTCAATAAATCTATACTAGCTCTCTCCAATACATTGCCCTGTCCTGCTAGCTCCTCTTCGTCAGCAAACTTGAGCGGAGAGAAATTGACACCAAGTGACGTGGCAAGAGACGAAACTTCACAGTTAAAGAGATTAGCAATGGAGGATATGGCTTGTAGGAGGAATAGGTTCTGATTCACGCGATAGAAGGCAATCCACGCATACTCAATGGCTGCTGTCACCATCTTGTTCTTGCGGTGGAGAGCATATACTTGTACTAGACTAGGCACAACCATTTGGTAACCCTCTGATCTAAAGACAGTGTTAAACTTAGCAACTGCAGTCAGTAATGCAGCCAAAGTATTTCTTAGTATGGTGAGGTCCTCACTTTGAAGGAACAGGGAGCCATTGAGGACTGTTAGGTATAATATAATGCAGTCATCAGGCTGGTGGAGGGAAGAGAGAGAGAGAAAAAAGAGGTCATTGTAAAACAGTATTAAGTTTTAAAATACGTGTTATAGAAAAAAATTTATAGCTTCATGTGCATTGAAATAGAAGCACAGTGCTGTACCTGGTAGTCTTCCATCTGTGTGAATATTGTTAGTATGAATTTAGACCAGACTCCTCTGAGCATTGAGTCAGTCACTCGTAGCTGCCATTTTGATAAAGCACTGGGACCAACACTGTCCAAAGTCTTACGAGGGAACGAGGAAGACTTGAGCAACTCTTCGAATATAAAAATTGAATTGGGTTCTGAAAACTAAAAAGAAAAGAGAGAGAGAGGAGAAAAGAGAGAGTGAGTTAAGAGATTAAAATCCAAACACTTACTTTCTGTTCTGTCAGAGTGTCCTTCAACAGCATCTGACATGCAAACTGGACTCGAGCTATTTCACTCATTTTATGAGTTTGGAGCATTTCGAGCTGACGAGTGTTAGACCACGCCCCTCCATCACGCGAGGATGACGAGATCTTGCAGAGTTGAAAGTGAGGAAAAGACCCATCAGGAGCAGTCGGGTAATAGTCTTGAATAATTAGATTACTTAATACAGGGAGATCTGAAAATGAAATAAAATACAAGATTATGTGAATGATGATATTGCATTACAGTCTCATGCAAATAGTGGTACCTGTTTTCTGATCAGTAAGGTAATAGTTATTAAAGGTGCTGATGAATTCAGACGAGGTTGGATCCATGTCACGGACTTTAGCAATCAAATGTACGAAAGACATGTCATCAGAATCGATAATGTACTCCTGATTAACATGAGAAGTAAAACAAATTAATCTAAGATTACGTATATATACTTACTTGAGGGTCCTTAGTGTCACTCTCTTGATTTGATACCTTTACTTTCTCGACTCCTCTTATTCTGGCAGTCGTTAGGATCGATGTGTAGCAGCTCTCCTTCTTCAACTGGTTCTTTAGTTCTTTCATTGATAAACTCTTAACGCTTGTCAATACCTAACGATGACACATACAAGTACATATTCATTGTATACATGCACATTATGGACAGCTTTAAAAATTCAAAAAAAAAATCCAATTTTGATCAAAATCAGTTTAAACCTGCTACACAACATAAGAACATTTACATGTATATGTATCAAAAAATTATATAAATGGATATTTCTCTCCTAGTCCTTTTTGATGAAATTCCCTGCACTATTACATGCACATACCATTCTCAATAGTCCCAAGAGACTCTGTACAATACTGTCTGACAGCTCCAGTGGCTGCTCTGTGTGTCTCATTATTATACCAACAAAATGATTAAAGAGGAAATGAGCAGCTTTAGTCGGCAGAGTAGGGAAATGACAGAGAAGAATGTGAAACGGTTTAATAATATTACCCTAGGGAAAGAAAAATTCATATTTTAATCAGTTCATACTCTCTCTCTCTCTATCTTTACCAGTTGTTCTTCAGCAGTTTCCTCAGCAGTAAGATTAGCATATCTCTTCTGGTCCCTCACAATCTGATAGAGTCTATTAAACTCATTCAGTAGTGGGAGGAAGAGATCATGAGGATGCTCCAACATACAATGCCAGAGAGCTTCCTCAGCACATTCAGACACTACAGGAAAAAGAATGAGACTAGCATTACTCTTATTCAATAAATTATCAGCAAAAAATTTAATGCATGTTAAAAATATTATTATTATTATTATTGTTATTATTATACTTACGCTGTGCAGTGGATGTTGCATTTATATCAGAAGATGAGGAAGTTGAAGGAAGCATGCACAATGACCTAATGACCAGATCAATCAGTGGAAGGAGTGTATTAGGAAAAACACTCAATTTAATACGATCCTTTACATTAATGATACCTAAATAAAATACAATAAACATCAACTATTATGAATTCATTCTTTTTTCGTTTATCCCCTCCTTCATTACCATGTTCATAATCATCTTTGTCAACTTCAATGAGTGTTGTCGATGCTCCTGTATCATCATCAGTGAGAATGTTTATCATAGTAACATGATAAGGCAATACATCATTTGCTATATCAGACAAATGAATGAGAGGAGCCAGTGAAGTGGACTGGTAGCACTGGAAGAGGAGAGAGAAAGAGAGAGAGAGTGTGTGTGTGTGAAAGAGAGAGTGTGTGTGAGAGAGAGGGAGGGAAGGAGAAAGTTTAATAAAGGGAAGAGATGAACACAAAGAGAAAGAGAGAGAACAAAAGATAACATATTAATATTATTTAAGATAGTGCATACCTTTGAAGTGCTGATCCCTTGAGTACATAGTGTATTGTTACAAACTGATTTAGGAGTCCATGAAGGATGTGGTAGATCTTCTTCGAATGAGCCCATCAAATGAGGGGGAAGGCAATACCCAATGCTCTGTGCATCCTACAATCAAATATCATAATTATTAGTCACAGTAAATACACAGGATATTAGGAGCAATGCAGATGTACTTGTACAGTGATTATACTTTTTTAGTTTTGTCTTCGTCAACTGAGAAATGCTTCCCTGCTCCATCTTCCATCTTGCTCCATACTAAATCACGGGATGACCACAACTTCTTAAACCTAACACACAATGACAATGTCACCATTTACTAGAATTCATTGTAGCATTCTCACCTTTTAATGGTTCCTCTCATTGAGTTGAGGTCAGTTACTTTAGAGTTTCTACTGAAAACTGAACTAATGTCTTCCTTCTCTTTGATACACGAGAGGAGAAAGAAAGAAGCTGCAGGAGAAAGAGAAAAGAAACAAGTAAAAAATAGCAAAAGAGAAAGGTTGAAAAAGGAAGAAAGATAAAGTCTCCTTACCAGCAGAGTTAGCATAAGGGTCATCCACATCAAGCAATGCATCCCAAGCCACTGGTCTAAGGTCCCTGAACACAGAAGCATCAAGAACAGGCCCAGCAAACGTCATGAGGGAGAAAGGAGCATGCAAGAGACCAGAGAGCGTATTGTTACAATAGTCAATCCTCTGCTGGTTGTAATCGGATAGTAACTGCTCAAGAGATGCAGCAGAATCAACCTCCATCAACCAGTCAAGAGTAAGACTTTTAATATCATCCTGAACAATATTGAACTCTTTGTTAGTATTATTCTTATCAGTAGTAGCAGCAGTATTATTATTATTATCATCATTATTATTACTACTGTTATCAGGTTGGCTACCCCATACTTTACCAGACTCTAATAAAAATCTCAAACGAAGACCAGAGAAATCCAGCTTGGCCAATCTCTGAGAGAAATTCTTGGTATTGCCATTACCAGCTCCAGGCTGACTGATCTTAGCAGCTGCCCTCCCTCCCATTGCAGTCCCAGGGAGAAGTTTAAGAGTCTCCATGACAAGAGCATCAGATGAAGAGACGTTAGTAGGGAAGGCCCTATGTCTAGTGAGTGTATTGACATCACTAAATACAGTGGATATTGAGACGTGAGATGGAGGACGGAATAGCTTAGCATTGGATCTACCAGGAGCTGTTGAGTGAGTAGAAGGAACTGGAGTAGTCTCCTCTGTATCATCAAACTGTATGCTGTATATGTGATTAAGAGCTGATATGAGATCATGACAGTTCTGTCTCTGTTTCCCTTTCTGTGCTTCGCTTGATTTATGATAGAATATTATGAGATGCTCCACAGTGTCCAGCCATGGGAAATTGGTACGTAAGTCTTCAACTTTTTGAAAATAAGAGCTACTGTCTTGCCGAGCGTGAGAATAGCTGCCCATCCTTCTGTGAGCAAAACTAGGACTGGAATTAACTGATGATGCCTGAGTCGTGGTACTAGAGCGCTTCTTGTTGGAGTCGATACGAGGACGTCTAAAAGCATGGCGTCCTCTTTGAAGGAATCGACTTATCACCGAAGGACGTCGTCTACTAGCAGTCCTTCTAACACTAGGGGGTGAAGGTTGGATTGTTGGAGCTGATCTTTGAGTATGAGAAGAGGTAGAGTCCTTCTTCTTAGCTGCGGCAGGGAAAGGGTTAGTCTCTCGACTAGGGGTGATGGAGAATGACTTACGATGCTGATAAGATCTAGAGCCAGGAGCGTTGATACCAAGGTTCCTATTAGGCCCAGCCCCACCCACATCATGTGAGGCTGCTCCTCCCCCTCCGCCCCCCAGACGATGAAAGGCAGCACTAGAGAGTGACATTCGTCTCGGGGTCTGTTTTGGAGACGCTTGAGGACCCTGTCCTCTTTGACTGTCGCTAGGCGGATCCCCCCCGGTGTAACTAGGGGAGGAGGGCGGGGCTCTACGGAATGAAGACCCTCCCACATTACGTCCATAACGACTATTGATACGCAAATACACGGACACTTTACGAGAAGAGGAGTCAGAGGGAGGAGGAGGGAAAGGATGTTCCACTGACATGAATTTCGGGAGCTCATCCATGGCTGAGATATTAGGGCGGAGCTGATACTCTGAGCTCATTCGTCTCACAGCAGCAGCTCCTCTTGGCTCTACAGGGCTGGAGAGATAAGGAGATGATATTACTGTCTCTGAATCGGTTGAGAAGTTACTGATGTTTGATATTTTTCTTGACGGTGGGTGGGGTTGATGGGAGGAGTAGCTCTGATAAGAGGAGGAGGAGGCTGCATCGTGAGAGAGGAGCTTTGTTGGAGGTTGCCGTAGTAACCGTGTTATTTCCAATAAGAGCACACAAGCCATCATCTTTAAAGAATGATTGACAGTATATACTTTATCTATTAAAAATAAAATATTTTATAAAAACATACATGTACATGTTGTACGTAGTAAATTTTATAGATCATTAATTTTATTATGTAGAATGCTGCAATTTATCATTATTATGACTATTATTAGTAACGCGGTAGCGTTACTAAGTAGGATTCACCCCAAACAAAATGGCTGCCACTACTTTTGCAGCCTTTATTACTATTATTGGTACCTGTGTTATCATTGTCCTCATTATCAGGGAATACAGGCTCTTCCTCAATGACATTAGTGCAACCATCTCCTACTTCATTACTGGCTCCCTTGGACAATTGCTACAAGATATAAATTGACTGAAATATAACCAAAGCAACAAATAGATGCTCATACTACAGTCATTATGCACCAATTCAGCAAATAAAGAAAATTAAGAAACAATATCATAAATACATTGTAATTGAATAAACTTAACATTGTATCTTAAATAATTCACCTCTTTCTCTCTTTTAATGCACTCCTTGAGTCCATCTCCAATAGCTTCAGCCCATTTCCTCAATAAGTAGAACAGGTCCCAGTGTGATCCTGACTGGTTCTGATTCAACCATACAGTACTGCCTCCTTCACTGTTGATCTTCTTTACAAATAAACAACACTCCAACAGTACCAGTGCCTTTGGAACTACTGTACCTGGTGGACCCTAGAAAATAAAAACTGCATTATTCTGTTATACTCGCAATTTACGCAAATTTGTACTATCATAGAAAAATTTGACTTCATAACAGAATTACTAAGAATTACAAAGATTATAAAAATTAGCTCCTAGAAAAAATAAGAGGTGGATGGAGACTACAATTGTTCCTTTTAAATTATGTACATGCTAGTTCCCAAGAGTTTATTAATAGTTATAATTTAGTTAACTATTAAAAATGGTTAATAATTATATTCTGTTCAGTAAATCTCTGGATATTTTTAGTGGCTTTGCCTTTTTTCTGAAATTTCTGTCTTTCTTTGTTGTAGACCTCTTGGACAAGTCAACCCTGAATTCTACTAAAGTCATAATAGGTGGTGGTTAAACTACATCATAGTCTTGTAAATTTATCTACAAATCATGAAAACTGTGGGAGAGGTGTCATCTTTTGCTTTATTTATTTTTGTAATTAATTTAGTATATTACATCTTCATTCAGCTGATTGGCTATATCCTTGATTTGATCTTTATTAGCCCAAATCTTGTGACTGGTATTATTATGATAGTGAGTAACATTACATTTATATCAGCGGTTACATTATGGCTAAAATCTCTCCCAGCACCTACAGGTAAATTATATTATAATGCATGCAAATAAATTATCTTTTTCATAAAGATGACTACGATAAAAAATACATGGAAAAAGTGGATGAAAAGGTTGAAACAAAGTTGAAGATTATATCCTGCATGACAGTAGGTCCACCAACAGTTGGTAAGACAACACTAAGAGAACAACTACGTAATAACAAACAAAAAAAGGATTGCAAGAGACCACTTAGTACACAAGTTGCAGACAAAATCAAAAAATTTCAATTCACAGCTGGTAACAACAAATGGAACCACATGACAAGTGATGAGGAGCTCACAGGGTTTGTTAAAGGACTTGAAAAAGAGCAAACTTCTTTAGTGGCTATTGTGTTTGCTTCTCTTTTTTTCATAGCACCAACATGGATGGCAATTGTAGTATTTTGTATCAAAGAAAATGAGAATGAGAACTTAAGCCACTTAAAGTTTTTCAAATATTTAATCCTAACAGTTTCTTGTCAAGTACTGTTCATGATGGTATTATGTGATAACCCTATACCTCCACACATTTACAAAAACATAACTATTGAATTTGTGAGGAATACCATCAGTAAAAAAATATTCAAAAAGACGCCACCAATTTATTCTGATACTTTGTTAGTTCATTTCAGAGACAGTGGAGGCCAACCAGAATTTCATGAAGTCATACCAGCACTAATGCCCCAATCAACCTTATACCTTATAATGTTTAATCTTAATGAGGACCTTGAGAAGGAGTACAATGTAACTTATAAAGCAAGTGAAGAAGATACAAGTGCAAGGTATAAAAGCAGTTTTACTGTCAAAGAAACTATACTACAAATACTAGCAAGCATACAATCTCTTCATAATTATGAAAAACCAGGCATTACTTCTAGTGCTCTTATCATTGGAACACATAAAGATAAGATACAAGGTACAAGACAACTTCAACAGATACAACAAGAATTAGAGAAAGAGATAAAAGGAACTGACTGGTACACAAGTGATGCTATAGCAACTACACCTAATGGAGACCTTATACTACCAATTGATACATATAATCATAATGATGTTGAGACAGTTAAAGATATGATCAAACAGTCTACTGCTACTAGAAGCTACAAGGTACCAGTAACATTCATAGCACTGTACTTCACTATTGAGAAATTAAACAAACCAGTCATGTCATTCAAAGAATTTAAAAATCATGCACGTGATTGTAACATTAAATATGAAGTTGAACTAAACCGAGTCTGCCAGTACCTTCAAGACACAATGGGTGCTATTCAATACTTCAAAAATATTCCAGAGATGAAAGATATTGTCATAACTGATCCACAAATATTGTTTGATTTAGTCAATGAGCTAATATTGTGCACCTTCACCTTCAAGAATATAAGAACAATGGACAGTAGAAATCAAGCAGAAAGATTCCGTTTTTCAGGTCGTTTCACAAAACAAGTCTTACAAGAGTGTGATATAATAAAGAGAGGCTTACTAACAGCAGATCAAGTTATACCTATCCTGATACATTTGAGTATAATAGCACCAGTTGGTATCAATAGTAAAGGCTATGAAGAATATTTCCTTCCTTATGTCCTAGTCCATGCTCCAGTATCTGTACCTGCTAGTATGCTAACTGTTGCTACTGGTTATTCTCCATTATTAGTTACATTTAAGTGTGGATACACTCCTAGAGGAGTCTTTAGTTGTCTTATTTCTTCTATTCTGTGCTGTAAAGGTCAGTGGGTGTTATCTTCTGATAAAATATATCGCAATCAAGTTATGTTTCATCTCACTGAGCATGGTCATTATGTTATACTCAAAAATTGCATCAAACATTTACAAGTTACCATTACAGTGTGTCATGGGTCTACTATTTCTGATGTTCCTTTTCCCAAAATTCGAGGGTTCCTTTCACAGCATTTGTCAATCATTATAACCAAGCTGAGATATTCTGCCAGTAAAGTAGGTCATTCATTTGGTTTCTATTGTACACTAGAGGATCATGCTACAAGTGATCCTCATATAGCCCAGTGCATCAGTAATGTGCAGAATCCACACATAAAGTGTACTATTGGTCCTTCTCCAATGACAGCATCTCTCACTCCAGAGCAAGCTATCTGGTTCAAAGGTAAGTGAATGCAATATGTACATGCACTATTAAAAGTTTATTTTTCTCCAATAGATGATTATAATTCTAAAAGAACAACCTTTGGTAAGTAATATGTATATCTACATGTAAATGTATGTACATGAAGTTCACTGGTGTATTTTATAGATATAACACATCTCTCTATGGTACTTCAGTTTCTAACTGATAATCATTATGATGCTACTGCTTGGCGAAGGTTAGGACTAGCACTGGGAATCTATCAACTAACACTTAACAAGATTGAGAGTGATGCCAGAGGTAAAACAGAAGACTGTTTAATAGAATGTCTGTCAGCTTGGTTACGTCAAGAAGATAATGTGAAAGAAAGTGGAATACCCAATTGGTATACTTTAGAAAAAGCACTTGATTCTATCAGACAACGCAGTATTGCTGATCTACATTGTAGCTTATGCTAGCATTAACTTACATGTATATGCACATGAACCAAAAACTATGCATTACTATAACTTAAACCAACAGACAGACACACACATACAAACTAGCTGCAACAGATATATCATAGTACATGTACATTTTGCTAAAAAATAAAGTTTGATAACATTTATTTACAATAAATATACTACCGTATCATATGTATGTGTACATGCATGTACATGTATAATCTTTATTACAGGTATTTAGCTGATGGGCTTACCACATTAAAGAGAGATGAGAGAAGAGATGGCTCAGGTATTGTTCCTGGTTCACTCAGCTCCAGTAGTATTGTTAACCTTCTTATCCTCTGATGCAATGCACCAATCTTTAAACCACGCCATTCCTCCTATCAAGAGAAAAAAGAAATGTAAAAAATTCATAAAGAATGCAATTTTGATCGGAATCACTTCAAACTTCTACACAGCATAAGTACATGTATATGTATCAGCAAAATTATAAAAATGAAGAATTCTTTCCTAGTCATTTTTGTGAAATATTTTTAGTAACTTTAAAAAATTATAAAAAATTTAAGTTTGATATGAATCAGCTCTAACTTGCTACACAACATAAGAACATGTATATGTATCAAATGTAATATAACATCAATTCTATTGCTGAAATTCTGCCACATGTACTACCTTCAGAGCATTTACCGAAGAACAATAGTACAAACAATTGTTATAAAACAATTTGACCTCATGCCACTATACTAACATTGGAATGCATGACCTCTGCCATCTGTTGCAACCAAATATGGAGAATGAATGTAATAATTATAACAACTACTCAAGCTATATTGTGTACTGTATAAATACTGTACATGCATGGATTACATTACATGGAGTGGTTACTCTCAGACTAAATAACTTGAAGGGAGAAAAAGACTAAAATATACACGGGCCAATCCTAAAGAATCATGGCTCCTTGTTACTAGAAACAAATTACATTACTTTTGATGCATGTAAATGTACATGTAATGTAGTAGTGGCCCAAAGCATCATAATTATCATAAATATGTGTCATTGACATGTATAGTACTGGTAATACTGTAACTTGAATATAATATAAATACTATTGTATCCATCAGTTGCTATTACCTTGAGTGCTGTAATGACAGGATGTTCTTTAAAGTGGAGGGTATTATTATTAGTAGTAGTAGTAGCGGTATCAGTTGAGTTTAATTCATTTTCGACAGAGTTTTGTTTTGATAAAGGAGAGGGAGATTTCACTTGTACACGAGGTGTCTTCCTCTGCAAGAAAAAAAAGAAAAGAATTAATACTATAATGAAATTTCAAAAGAAAATAAAATAATTCTGAAAAAAAAAGCCTGCGACACCGGCGATTCCTAGGCGGTCACCCATCCAAGTACTAAGCTGGCCCGACGTTGCTTAACTTCAGTGTTCAGATGGGAACTGGTGCTTTCAACGTGGTATGGCCGCAGACATTCACATTAGTAAAAAAGAGGGATTTTATAGGATTAGTTTTTTAATATTTACTGTTACAAAAAAGTATCACTTACAGAGAACAGAGGAGACCTTGTTTCCTCGACAGGTCCTGTTATTCCTGTAACTGTTCTACCTCTCTTACGAGACAGCGGCCCGTCTTCATCTTTTGATTTTGATTTGTCTTTTCTTCGAGGGAAAGTCCCCATATCAGAAGGAGCAGGAGAGAGGACGGGAGGGAGAGAGGCAGTCAAAGTAGGAGGAGGAGGAGGGGGAGGAAGGGAAGGGGGAGGTTGTGAAGGAGATGGTATAGGAAGTAGTACAGAGCAAGCAACACGTTGAACGTAATGGCGTAAGTGATTGAATCCTTTACTTATGATGAAGTCCTGATCGAATAGCGACATGGCAAAGTTTACAAATGATACAGCTTCTCTCACAATATTCTAATAATGATACAGTAAAGTGTCAATACATTAAAGTGTGAAGAATTTGTCTCCCTCATCTCATAAATGTACACGTACATGTATGCATTAAAATCTTCATTTTATTTTTAGTTTAAGTATAATTACTGCTTCTCCTTTCTATTTTAACACATCAGCTGTTAAATGCAAACAGTTTTCTTTCTTTCTTTCTCTCTCTCTTTCTCTTTCATTCTTCTTATCAATACACACACTTACATGTTTCACAGTCGGTTCATTAAGATCCAACAATATCATCCTATCCATTATGATACGAAACACTGAAGCAGACAATACAATACTGGATGATGGCTCGTGATTCTCTCGTTTAGTTGGACTCCGCGGACAATACTGCAACATGACATGAAGGAAATGAAACACTTCCTTGAGTGTCGCCTGACGCGAGAACTCCATCACCACATCCCGATACTGGAGTGGGGAGTTAGAGTAGAGTCTTTCGAGAAGATGAGTCATCTTGTTGAGGTTCTGACTGGCATTCCTCGTGTTCTGTAGAGAGTAAGAGCTGAGGAGACAACTGTTAGAAGAGCAGCCGGAATAAGTACACACAGCACAATGAATGAGCGCCTTTATTGCATATTGGAGGACGTGACGAGAATAAGTAGCCGAGGCTTTCTCTTGCTTCTTGTCAGCTCCTAGCAGGGACCTTTGTCTTATGAGTCTCTTTGGTTCGTTTAGGGACTCCTTTGTAGATGCTTCCAGTCCAAAGTCCATACAAAACTGAATCAAAGAGAAGCACTTTTGACAGGCTTCCCAAGAATCATCAGTCCAGAGCGTGGCACTGGATGGCAGTTGTATGACTGATTTGAGTATAGCTAGTAAGCTAATCCGTCCTTCGTATGTTATGAATGATTGCAGCTCACGTTGAATATCAGCCTCACTCAGTGTGGCTCCTTTGATTACCTGAGGCTCTGGGGTCTTCTGTCTCACGGACTGTTCATCACTGTCACTGGATTCACTCTCGGACTCTTCACTGACGTCAGTAGAGTGGGCACTAGCTCGTTCATTAGGGGAGGGTGAGGCATGGATACTGAGGGAGAGAGAAGAGGTGGAGGAGAGAGGGGAGGAAGGGGAGGCACGAGGAGGTGACATAGAAGGATGACCGGAGGACAGAGGGTGCAAGAAATCATGCGAAGGCGATATCGAAGACTCTCCAATGGTTGGTGGTACCCCATGCTGTCTGAGCCCCACCCTGAGAGAGCTCGGAGACGGAGTCCTTAATCTCTGATCATCTTTAGGAGGCTCCTCTGGTCCAGTCTCTTCTTCAGCTATCGACTCAATACCAGCGGAGTAGTTAAAAGGTGCCATCGTCATTGAGGACTTACGAGGAGGGAACCGCCCACTGGCAATAATACCCCCAGGAGGACGTGAGCCTACAGAGTTGCGTCTTTGTGGCCCAGTAGTACTGGAAGAGCTATCAGCAAGAGGAGAGTGTATGTTGGGACGAGAAGCAGTGGAATACCTCCTCTGGGGGCCGCTGGACTCAACACGTGATCTTGGGATCTCATTCTGTCTCTCTAACTTTGAGGAGGAGGGAGGCTCACTGACTATAGGAATATTAGGCGCATTACTAGCTGCTGCTTGTACTGTCTTATCCAACTCTAAACTAAACTGGCTCTCGGGAGTTATGGCAATTGATGGAACAGGAGTGGCTCCTTGTATTGATATGGGGGAGGAAGGGGCAACAAGGGACTGGCCCGTCTCAGGATTGATGGAAGAGGTGGGGCCTAGTGCAATTACGACTTTACCATCCACGGCTAGTTGAGGGACGTCAATGACAGAGCGACGAATGGTGTCTTTTCTCTTACGAAATGTGACGCCGTACCAGCCGGACTCACTTTTAGTTCTAATGGAGAGATCCAACCTGTAATGAAAAGAAATGAATAAAAAAGAAAATGAATTTAAAAAAGAATCAATCATTACAATAATTAAATGACGAGTGAGTAAGCTGGGATTAATCAATGTGATAGTAGTAATGCGGAAACAATTGGGAAAATTTGCTGTATAATTATCAGTTGGATTGAGCCCTGCTATCCAGAGACCACTAATCACTACCTTCCTTTCCCTCCTACATGCACTTACACGTATAGCAACCCATTTGACATAATCTCTGTCTACACTTACATAATCATACAGTATATTGTATTCCTTTACTTTCTTCCTTCCTTCCCCTACCCTCTCTCTCTCTTTCTAATTCTCTTTCTCTCTCTCTCTAATTCTCTCTCTATCAACCTTTTAGTCATTTCAGCAAGATAGTCCAGGGCCCACACCACAGAATGAATGTTAGTCTTCTCGGTTACGGTAGAAAGAAACTTCAATATAGAGATGTCACACATGCGTGCTAGCTGCGCGGTTGGAATGCTACCACAATCCAGCACAATGCGATCGGAGCTCTCCGGATTCTCCTCTGCGACATAAAAAGGATTCACGGCCAGCCTACGAAATATCTTTTTTCTCGGGCACCTGTTGCCGTATAAGGACTCCGTTATTTCGTTTTCAATCCCTCCTCTCCCGCTGGAGTCAAACGTTGATTGTGCAAAGAGAGATATAAAGGCATCAACGTATTCCTGGTAGCGAGTTAGACTTGAGAAGGAAGAGGGAGGAGGGCTCTCCGCGAAAGCGTGAGGATTCATCTCAAGAAACTCCGTAAATTCAGAGTCTAGTTTGCCAATGTCTAGCAGTATGATGTCAAAAGCTTGACGGTTAGTGAAACTCTCTTTTAGGGAGGCTTGCCATGCCCTTGGATGAGCCGGGGAGATTATGTCGTCAAGAGCAAACGAGATCCTACGGCGAGTCTTTTTTGATGCATTTCGTCTGTCTCGAAGATTGCGGGTGTTTGTGGGCGTGGTTGACCGCACCCCTATTGCAATGTTCTCGATTGTACTGGTAGACATGGCGTGAGTAACATACCTCAGCTAAAAGAAAAGTGAAGGAGAGAAAGAGAGAGAGAAAGCAGTCGTGCAATTGGGTAAACAATACTATAATACATATACACATGCGTACAAGTGCATAAAAACATTTTCTATTTAGACTACAACAAATGCAATAACACAGAGAGCCAACACAATATCATTATTATTAATATTATTTTTTAAATGACTATTATTATTATTATTCTTATTGTTAGTGTTAATGGCTAGCTGTTTATGATCCACGTACACGTACACACACATAGATAGAATGCAGTCTATTAGTAAACACATTCCACAGTGTAACCGTATGCATTAAGTGTACATCTATATGTATATGTACACATAGAAATCACATTATAGTTAGATTTGGACTTGGCTGATGATAATATTATCATTAGAAATTTTGTAGAATAAGCAAGGAAGATATTAACCAATCCTCCTATGCAAACAAACCAAAAAAAGGAGCCAGTATCATTACTCTTAATGTTTTTACATGCATAAATATATAATGGTCACAAAATAAAAAGTAAGATGGGTCTGTATTATTAAATTAACACAATTATATTTAATAACTGAAATATCCCCATTGATAAATATGCACAAAATGGGATCATACGCACAATAATTTCTTTCTTAGATGGATAACTTGCAAGCTACACTGTACATGCATACTGTATACACACACTATGAAGTTAAAAAAGCACAAGTAGCTTCTTACAAAAAGCAACGCTTTGACAAAAATATATTTGGCAAAATTTAAGCAACTACACGTAAACTGATATATTTGGGAGGCATGGAACACAAACAAAATGTCAAAAGAGGCACAATGTGTGAGCATTAGTTGCGAACTCTGTGGAATAGGCTAAGAACAAACTAAGAGGCATATAAAGTCATAACAATCCCAATCAAAATTATTGTGAAATAAAACGATACTACAGCATATCATACAAGAGAATACTGCTACATTCCAATCTCTCCTTGTTATCATAATTGTCTGCCATCCTCATTAATGCGGACTACAAAAATTTATTGTATCATTATTGATACATAAATACTTAGCTCATGATCAGTAATACAAGTAGATATGGAGTCATTGTTTTGATGAAATCATGCACTAAGAACAAACAATAAACTCTCTTACCTCTCTCACTCTCTCTGCACGTACACTCTACAGGTCTCCTGCTCAAAGAGCACCTAATAGGTTAGTCGTTGATGCTTTCCTTCATTTCACACTATACATAGGCTGTACAGCATCAAAATTGGTTTGCCATTTTTTGAAATGACGCAAATACATGCACATGTACTATATTTCTCTAAATGTTATGTCAATATATAATGATGCTTAACTTTAAAAGGCTCCAAATCCAAAAGCTTTACAAGGAGCTCAACAAAACACCAGGTCTTATCAATTATCAGCTAGGCTATACAGTACAAGTATATTCATGACTTTCCACACAACAAATGAATATAGATCTTAGGTTTATGACTCACGGGTCCTCTCTTCTGGTCTAGCTATACTGATACGCTAGTGGTCTAACGTCTCCTTTGCCCACAAGCAGCAAATGCCTAGACAAATCCAGACAAACCTCTCTCTGTAGTCTATCTCACTGCCAGTAACTGGTTTTGGCAAAAATTTTTAATTAATTTTTATACCGTAATCTGTTCCAGTTATACGAGTAGTCTAATAATTCATAACTAGTTACACCCCAACTCTCTGGTTAATTAACTAAAAAGTGATATTAAGTGTTCCAAAAATGTTGAGATTTCAGTCTACTTTGAAGACCCTATGGGTAATACAATATTATGTAATAATATATTTTTATTTCAGTAATATTTGATTTAATTGAGTGCCAAAAAAGAAAAAAAATTGGCGTGTGATGTATGGTTTATTAATTTCTTCTTCACCTTTTTTTTTAATTTAAATTGAAAAAAATAATAAATTGCAGTATGTACCATTGGAGTCTCACCACTGCACACTTAAGTTTTTTTATGTCTAACAGAAAGTTTATTATTTTCTAACTTTTAAATTAAAAAAATTGACATTCTTTTTATGTATTCTGATTATCAAAAAAAGAAAAAAAATTGGCGTGTGTGTATGTGTGTATGAGGCTCTGTACGTATATGTTACTATTTAAGTACATGTAAAGGCTCTGTATGTATATTAACTATTAAGTATGAGGCTTCATGTATGTATACACAATTGCATGATAAGCTCTACAGTACCAATGGCACTGACTACCAGTACTCATAGCGTGCACTCTATGAGGAATGGTAGCCAATGGAAGTGTGTCACCAGCACTGTACAAACCTGTTGTAGTCTGAAGCTGTGTGTGCATTATAATGTAAGCTCTGTATGCATACTAATTAAACTATATTAGACACAGTGTATTGTACTTACATGTAATTGCATGCCACTGAAGCCAGCCACGGCTTATAACCTATCTAAAGAACCTACAAGAAATTCTACAAATGCGGTTTCGGGGATTCGAACCCGGACCTTCTTGCCTCAAGGCCCGGGCCCATCCCCTTAACCACTAGGCTACCCGGACCGCCGGGCAACAGCACGTGATTTTTCCACCTACACATACCAATGGTCATTACAATACTGCATTATACACTGTGTAAATGCTATATACTGCCATACTAGTACTAATTGGACTTGCCCAGCTGACTACAGCATCTTTCGTTTAACACCAGAGCTAGCTTCTAATCTACTAATCATGATTCATCTTCTTCTCAAAATCTATCAACTAGTCTAGAGGAGTCTTGGCTACTATTAAAGCCCACCAAAGTTTACTTAAGTTTCCATACTTTCCAGAGCTGATGAAATAGCCTTTAGAGTTGCTTTAGAGGATTCTCTCTCTTATCTTGCTGAAGTTCCTGTTAGCATAGATACCGAATGGTAATTATGGTGTACTAAAACCAAGAGTACATTATACCTAAAGTACTCTAAGTCTCAACTCTAAGTAGAGTCTAAAACCTAAATAAGTTATCAACAAAGTTATTAGATCTGTAGGTGTGGTCAAATCATTGAAATCAATTAATTAACTTATTTGAGGTTATGTCCGCTGGCACATCTTTGACCCGATAGAGTTTAAAGAGTCTTTAAACCTCATCTCTGCTCTGTTCCATATCCCCCTGAAGGTAGAGATGGCCATGAGCAATTCCAGGGACGTGGCTGACGCATGGTTTCACGGTAAAATCACTCGAGAAAATGCCGCACACCTAGTCACCTCTCTCCCGGGCAAACTGGACGGGTATTTCTTGGTTAGGGAGAGCCTCCGAATTCCTGGGAGCTTCGTACTGACAATGTGGGCCGACAACACTGTCCACCACTTTCAGATCATTGGTCACGGTGATGGGTGGTTTTCTGTTGACAATGGGCCACTATTTCAGGGACTGGATGAGCTTATCCATCACTACCAAGTCAAACCTGATGGTCTTCCCAAGAGACTCCTCGACTTTGTCCCGGGTCAACCTCCTCCCCTCTCCGCTAGAAAGAGGGTCCTTACTAACCTCCACAAGGCCGTGGCTGTGAACGATATTAAAATAGTTCGTAAGTATCTCTCGGGCCCTCCATCACTGACCGTGGGGACTGTTGACTCGCCCAATGCGGAGGGACAGACTCCAGTACACGAGGCAGCAAAGAGAGGATACATTGAGATGGTAGCGCTGCTCGTTGAGCATAAACCTGATCTATCTCTGAGGGACTCTAAAGGATCCACAGCACTTCATGTGAGGAGAAAGAGAGAGGGAGGGAGAGAGAGAGAAGATGAATAAGAGGAGAGGGGATAACTTAAGTGCAGGGAAACAAATAAGGAATGACAAGCAAGTGTTGGGGAAGAGACTTAAGTGTTAATTATTGCCACCGCCTGTTGGATCATTCTTTCTACACACTTCACCGATCACCAAAAATGCACAATATTTCCCTCAAAATTACATACATTATACCTTGCCTCAAAGTAATTATTTATAAAAATGCAACAATTTATTATTGTTATTATTATTATTTTATTATTATTTATCATCATAGTTAGCTGCACAGAATGGCTATGCAGACATTATCAAGTTGTTAGTTGAGAATGGTAAAGCTGATGTACAGGAAAGAAACACCACCACAGGTATGTCCCTTCTTCCCCTCGCTACTTTTTATAATGTCTTCTTGGAAATCTGCCCATTTTGTGTGTATTCGTACAAGCGTGACACTATTTTTTAATTGAGTTGATGCAGTATGTACAAATCACTCTTTTCCCTACTCTGTATCGGCGTCATTTAAGTCCTTTTTTTATTATGTCCTTTGTTTCCATTAGGGTGGGTTGCACTGCACGAGGCTGCATTCAGAGGTCATGTTGATTGTTGTAAGATGCTATTGACTCACAACGCTCCTCTAAGACCACGTACCCCTTCGCCTGACGAGGACACACCAAGGGAATTAGCAAATAGATATAAACAAGATAAAGTTATCAGTCTTCTTGGTAAGTAATAAATCTCTCCTCTTTCTCTCTCTCTCTCTTTGTTATCCTTTCTTCCTGCCTACACTTTTACTCTATCTTTCTTGTGTTGTTAATTGACATTGTGACACATGTATAATTATGGTCAAAATTTACTATTTACTGTATAAAGCAAAAATAAATAGTGGAATATTGTATGTATTTTTGTAACAATCTCTATGGGCTTCAATGAGTCCAATGCACATAAGCTGTGTAACTAAGTAATCCTCAGTGAAATTTGATTACAATACTAATGAGTGGACTTTAGATCTTTATGGTATTATTATAGACTGTAATTCAAGATATATTGTAAACTAAAAACATGTAAGTATAGTTATGGACATAGATAGATTGTTAGATACAGTATAGGGTATCCCTAGTATACTGTATGTGTAGTATAAGTTTGCTGTTCTGTTATCATTTAGGATCCGGGTGGTTGTTGTACTCCAATTCCTTTCATTCAATTGATAATGGGAGGTCGAGTGTCCTGCATGTTATTGAAGTCTGTGTGGTCCAATCTTAATGTACATGTACATAGGCACTTTATTGCATTAGGTCCTATTGGTTATTTTTCTTTGTGACCTTCCATATCAATTGTTATATAAAAACATTATAGTGTGTACTTTTCTATCCTTTAGACTGGGTAGCTGCTAATTATCCTAAGCCGCGGACAAACACTTCAGAATGGCTTCACAAAGTCCTGGATAGGAATGTAAGAGTTTTACATGTACTGTGGTCTACTTTCTGGATTATTTGTTGTTGTTATGGTAGCTGCTTCTGTTTCCTATCTTAAGCTTGCTCTGTTTTGATATGCATTTATAGTATCAGGCATAGTTCCAATTGGAACTGAATCCAGATTGTAAGATATACATTCCTTGAATGCATGTACATGTATATTGCATGATAATTGATATCTCTTATTTTTTTACTGTTAATAACTTTGATTGATTGTTTATGCAAGCTAATGCACAAAAACAACCTTTGACAGCTTGTGTTATATTATACTCTACACAACTATGATATTTCATGTACATGTGTCATTAAATGATTTTTTTTTAATTATTTTTAGCATGCTGTGGAGTACCTTCGTCAGAATGGGCAGGTTGATGGGAGTTTCCTAGTCCGTCCCAACTCACGGAAACCTGGATACTACGCACTTACTCTTGTGTACAAGCAGATGCCATTTCATTATGAAATCATTTGTGAAGTAAAATATCTCCTTTTGAACTTTGTGTACTCTGTGTACTTTTAATTATTTCTGAACCTTTTCTGTTTATAACCTTTTATCATTTTATATTCACTTGCGTGTTGTAAGGTTATCTTTGTATTTCGTTTTAATTATCTGTCCTTTCCCTTCCTCTTTTCAGTCTGATAGATGGTACTACATTGATGACGGCCCGTTATTTGATTCCATATCCTTGTGCGTTGATCACTACATGATGTTTGCCGACGGCCTCCCCACAATACTGAGGCATCCGATAGCACCGATTGATAACAGAATATGCCGGACGCTCAGTAAAGCCGTAAGCCGATCAATGTATACATGTACTGTAATTATTTTTATTTTTGGTGCCAGAATAAATAAACTATGATCTTTGTAGCTCTTATAGACGTACATGTATGTGTACATGTATGTTTAAATATCTATGTATGTGAAACATAACTATAACTATAAATATATGTATAAATATGTTTATATTTCTTTCTCTCTTTGTAGCCTCCTCCTGGCCAGCTTCTCTTTTCCCAGTCTCAACCTCTTCATCATACTAGGCCTCCTCTCCCAACCCCTCCCTCTAGACAGTCCTCTCGTCCTCCTGCTCCTCTGCCTCCTATGGGTAATGCCCCCGCACTTAATGGCATCCCCTCCTTCAAGACCGTCTCTGCTAACTCTTCCTCTCCCTCCTCTCTCTCTGGCCCTGCTAGTCGCTCACATCAACCCCATCAGGATCCTTATTCCATGGTCTACATACAGGAGAAGTCTCTTTCGCTTGGGCCCGAGCTGGGGCAGGGAGAGTTTGGATCGGTTTTGAGGGGAACTTATCGTATGCCTGATGGAAAATCTGTAAGAGGGAGAGAAAGAGAAGCATGTATATGTATTATGTACATATATTGTATGTACGTGTACGTATGTATGTATTATGTATATGTGTGTGGGTGTGTTGTTTGGTGGCTGGTTGTGACAAATTGAAGGAGTGAGAGGGGATTTAGAAAGAAAAAACTGAAGTGAGCCATCATAAACTTATTCAATGCATCAATAGGTCGACGTGGCTGTAAAAACATTGAGAGTTGATGCTATGGGACACGGAGAAAAAGTAAAACATTTCAAACATATTTCACTTCAAATCTCACCCTTGCTCTCTCTCTCTCTCTCTCTCATTTAGGAATTTCTTAGAGAGGCCAAGATTATGATGGGCCTCCATCATCCTGGTATAGTCCAGCTGATAGGAGTCACTAAGAACAAACCTTTGATGTTGGTACAGGAGCTCGTCCCGTGTGGTGCGCTGGTCGATTACCTGTACGACGGCAAGTACCCAAAACCTGAAATAATGACACTTAAGCTCTGGGCGGCTGAGATAGCCTCGGGGATGATGTATCTGGAAAAGAAGAGGTTCGTTCACAGAGACTTGGCAGCAAGAAATATACTAGTGGCATCCTCTTATGTTGTAAGTGATGAGGGAATGAGATATGGAAGAGAGAGAGAGAGAGAGAGTGAGAGTGAGAGAGAGAGAGAGAGAGAGTGAGAGAGAGTTAGAATAAGATAATAGTAAAGCTACATGTAAGAGATATCCAGAACAAAGTAGTATAAAGAAAGAGATTAAAGACAATATTTAGGAATATGTACACGTGTATTTACAGTATTTACAATATTCATTTTGTTTATTAGGTAAAAATCAGTGATTTTGGTCTCTCTCGTGCAGTTGGGGCTAACAGTGATTATTACAAAGCATCCCAAGGAGGAAGGTGGCCCGTGAAATGGTAAGCATGATACTGTTGTAATTGTTTGTAGGCTGCCAAGTTTCCTAAATATTTCCTAACAACTGTTATGTTTGTCCTTTGCTTCTCACTTTTCAATGTCTTCCACCTACATGTACATGTACATGTACTTGTACACGTACCTCCACTTCACTCTCTCTCTCTCTCTTCTTTCTCCTATTCTCATTCCATACAGGTATGCACCAGAGTCCATCAATTATGGCACATTCTCACACGCCAGTGACGTGTGGAGTTACGGCGTTACATTGTGGGAGATGTTCTCGTATGGTGAGCCACCCTATGGTGAGATGACAGGAGCTGAGGTCAGCTATGCACTATAATAATATACATATACATGTACATGATTGTGCATTGTAATTCTATACTTTAAATGAATAACTTATTAATAGTACTACTTTATCTATAACCCACTAATTTATTGTGTGATTTGGTAGTACAACTATCTTGGGACAGTATTTTATTATACAGTAATTCTTGTTAGGTAAACTATAATTCTTTCTTTTCCTCTGTTCTCCTTAGGTATTGGATTTTATAGAGAACAGGAACGGTCGATTGGACAGACCTCCCACGTGTCCTCTTCCGATATACCATTTGATGCTTAACTGCTGGTCCCTGGAGACCAACCAGAGACCAACGTTTGCCGAGTTGTACGACTTCTTTAATAAAAGTGACGACATACCTCACAAAGAACTGTACCAGAATCCAGGAAAACTATAACTATTAATGCTAATATTAATAATAATAATAATAATAATAGATCCTGTGTAACTTTATTGTCTTTTAATTTCTGTGTGGGTGTGTGTGTATGTTTGTGTGTGGCACTTAATCAACTCTTGTTGTTCTATTGTGTTTTGTTTATTTTTCTCTCCTTTTATGTTTTATGTTATCAGCTAGGCAGACTATAAACTGCTGTGACTCACACTTTTATCCTCATTTTAATTATTTACTGCAAAATTGTAACTGATTAATATTTAATATTCATTATTGGTTATAATTTATTATTGTTGTGGGTGTGGTGAGAGGCGTGGTTACAATAACTTACATCCGGTTGTCCTCGTGTTGAAGAGTTGGAGGTCCTAAAACTCAAAATTCCTTCAAAGTCCTTGCACAGTTTCCCATTGTTTACTGATATTTTAACTAGCTATATTTGGTAAGGAGTAGAATGAGTATTCTAAAGTAGCTTGCAAATGTAACTTAGTTTGTAATGACTGCCTTTTCTTGGCCGCCATTTTAAAACAGTCCTGACAAGCTCTAGTTAACCAACGGTCTTTGTATTTCAGAGAGAAAGAGAGCCTGGCCATGTCTGGTACTAGAGATAATCGTGGTGACCGGATCATAGTCAAGAATTATCCTACTGATACTACGAGAGGGGATCTACAGATAATGTTTGAGAAATACGGAAGGATTGATGACTGTAAGCCGAAAACAGCACCATATCAGTACTGCATGTAAATGTACATGTAATCCCACAGCACTAGTGATGCTAATAATTATGTACTTTAAACATGATAAAAATTGCATGGATTTTATTGCAACTGTTGCACTTTTTTGGTTCAAAAAATTTGCTCGTAACCTCCTCCTCCTCTTTCTCCTTTGTTTTCACTTTTAAAGTTGGAAGAATTGATGTCTACCTCCAGAATAATCATTTATAACAAATTAGTGTATATTAGAAATTTGTCTTCAAAAATTTTGGACCTACATGTAGTAATTGATAGTTAATTAGCTATGGCTCATACTCTGCATACCTTGATAAGTTTAATGAGGTTAGATTGTGCTTGTGATTCATTCACAAAAAAAATTAAGTAATTAATCATTACAGTAAATAAAATGAGTCATTGCAAACCAGGCAAAGGCTATTATTTTTCCTAAAACTTTCTTCTACATGGCATATCATAAGGAATGAGGAAAAGTACATTGCAAATAAAAAAACATGTATTTAAATTATGTATTATTTTTTTACTCCTGAGAATTAATAATTCATTTATTGTGTGTTGTCGCACACTCATCCACTTACAGTGTACACTCCTAAAGATAGAGACTCTGACAAGCCGAGAAACTTTACCTTCATTAGATATCGGAGACCAGAGAACGCAGAGGAAGCAATCCGTGGGATGAATGGGAGGGTGAGAGAGAGAGGGTGGGACAAGAGAGATGAGGGTAATGTGTACAATATGTATTCCTATTCACTAATGACTCTATCACTGAGGCTTACATACAAATGTAAATACATGGACTGACATTTAGTCGTTTACTTAAAGTACATGGACATACACATACTGTACATATGTATACTGAAGATTGAGTGACTGTGTGTGTGTGGGGGGACATACATGTAGCTAGTCACTTCTCTCTAATGTGACACAATGTTATCATCACTGTAGGAGATTGATGGCCATAAGCTTCAGGTTGAGTTTGCCTACAAAAGTTCCGGGGGTCCTAGAGGTAACTTTGATAGAGGTTCACGTACTCATAGAGACGAAGGGAGGAGCAGGAGAAGGAGCTTGTCTCCTCCAAAGAGATACAGAAGCCGTAGCCCCTCACCTAAGGACCGGTATCGGGGTAGAGAAAGAGAGAGTGATCATCATCATCATTCGAGATACCCTGAGCGTGATGTAGTGTATGTTGCTGAAGTACCGGCATACGGTGGTAACAACCCACCACCACACCAGTTCTCTATGCCCTATCCTCCCGTCCCTCCTCCTGGTGGACCCCCTATTTCAGTACCTGTTAGAATGTTTGAAGGACCCACTCCTGTTCCCGGCCTCCCACCGCCCCCTAGTCATTTTCCTCCTCCCCCAGGGGGGCCACTGCCACCTCCCCCTCAGTCTGTACCTAGACGAAAGGCATTACTAGACACACCTCATAACAGAGGCCCTCCTCCTCCCCCTGGGGGCAGGCATTTTGAAAGTTCTCGTGGAGGTCCTCCAGGACCCCCACCTAATCAATTTGGTCACCCTCCTCCTCATAATGAAGGTGGGTCTTATGGGCGTGGCCCTCCTCATATGGAACCTCCTCCTCATTATAGTGGAGGTGGTCCCCCTCAGTCACGTGATCCATATTCTTCTGGTCCTCCTCCTCATCATCAGGGAGGAGGAGGAGGAGGAGGAGGAGGTAGGGATCACTCTTATAGGGATCCTCCTCTTCCTGGCGGTACAGGACCACCTCAATCAAGTAAGTTATGTTATAGATCTCCTCGTGTTGTATCTCTCTCCATTCGTCTTTTAAATGGTATTCAATTAGCATTTTTAGTTTAGCAGTTATCATGCTTTGCTGGCATACATTAAAAGTTCTACTCTGTACATTGTCTAATTCTTGCATGCACTATAATTATAAATGACACTCAAAATGTTGGTCACACTCACCAGAGATCAGTCAACTTGAGGGCAATAATAAATAGAGACTAAGTCCTGTTAGTATTATGTTGTTCCTTGCACTCTTTGTATTATTATAATATTAATTTAGTTTTACTGTGTTATTAGATTCTGATCTTTAAAAGCATAGTTACATGTATGAGTCCATTGTTTTAATTTGTTTATTTTAGGAGGGCCCTCGCATCAATATGACCAGTACAGGGACCAGCCTCCAAGAGGTTACTATGACAACCAGTATGCTTCTAATGCTCCTCCCCGCCCTCCCTCAGGGGGTGGGGGTTATCCCAATAATGAGAGCTATAGGTCTCAGGCCCCCTCAGGTACTGGGAATGGACAATACAGACAAGAATACGAGAACAGGGGTTCTCAGAACAACTACTACCAGACCCCTTCACATAATGAGAGCCCAGACTATAGAGATGGTTACAGGAACGCTGGCCCTCCGATGTCAAGGGGACCTTATAATAGCCCCCCACGGTCTAATATGCCCCCTCCTCAGACCGGGCCCAATAATAATACCAGGGACTATAACTACAATAGCAACACTAGGCCTAGGTATGATTATGATAATACCAGACCATCTCCAAGGGGCCCTCCCCCTAGTAATAATTATCGTGAAGAGACCAACAGAGACTATTACTCTACAAACCATCCTCCGTCAAACTTTGGTCCTCCTCATCCACCCCCTCAAAGATCACCCCCTCCTCCTTTCTCTAGCCGAGGAGGAGGAGGAGGAGGAGGTAGTTTTCCCATTAGACATTCCTCTCCGCCCCCACACAGCAGACCAACTCATGGCAAACCAGTACCCGAGACAAGGAATGAGTATTACGTGACGCCAGAACGTGACTCAAGGGGACACGAGTCTCGTTTTGAAGGAGGGGGAGGGAGTAGGAGGTATGGTAACACTCCCAGCAGTGGAGGGTATAATGAAACTGGATATGATCGTTCAAGCAGCAGTACTGGATACAACAGCAGCAGCGGTGGTGGTGGTGGTGGAGGTATGTTGTCTTATTCTCAGCAGCAGCAACCTCAGGAGCTCAAGACTGGATATACAGTGACTGTTAGAGGCAGTGGGACTGATACTGGACGAGGCAATAGTAGCAGTGTTGGAGGTAGAGGAGGAAACAGCTCGTTTTCTAGTCCTTCAAAATATTCTTACTCAATGTCCTCATTCTCAACCGGGTATGGGTCTAATACTAACAGTGGCGGACCTGTGTCACCTGATGCTGCTGGAGGAGGAGGAGGGAGTGCTGGACAGCAGAGATCAATTCTTGGACCTTCTCCTGGTGGCTCATCCAGTGGTTCTAGAGCTGGTACTAACACCGGATATAATCCATCAGGGCAGAGTTATACTAAGCCTGGTCCACCTTTTTAGGTGCTCAATCAGTTAGCTTTAGTCTCTACCTCCCTCCTTCCTAACATTTTCATGACGTTCTCTTATGTAAATACTATTTTTGTTTTGTAAAGTAGTTCACAGACTAGCAACATTGCATGTGCTCCATTTAATCGAAACTTTCTACATTTTTTTTCATAGGATTTCATTTGCACTTTATCGTTTGCATTATTTTTTGTGAATTTAATGTTGTCATTATATTTGCACATGCATCTATTATGTGCTATTTTGATTTACTTATCAATAATAATCAATATTAATGTGGATCATGAAATAAAAATTATGCAAAAAAATTGTAATATAATTTGTCAAGTTTCCATGTGGGTGTGACCTCAGAATTGAGCTAGGGCGGGAAATTCGCACACTTTAGAGCCTCTCGTTTCATCTCCTCTGCTCCATTACCGATCAAAGATGGAGGGAGAGGCGACAGAGCCAAGAGGCCAGGGGCTAGAGCTTGCTCATTCTTCTGAAGGAGAGGATCCAATTGAAGAGTTTGTAAACGTTCCTTCATCTTTTCCGGAATTTGCCCACATCTTCCTCTTTTTGAAAAGGTTCTCGGCCTTCCTCTCCCTCCCCGAGGTCTCTCTCCCTCAGCTAGAGAGATTTTTTCAATATGGTCTGTTATTCTAAATAATGCCCACCACTGTATATTATTAATTATTGTGTATCTAGGGGGCGTGGCTCCAACTTTGTATTTTTTTGGTTGATCTGGGAAATAGTACCTTAAAAAAATTAATCGGTTTTGTGTTTTATAGAGGCACATAATAGCAAATAATAATAATATACATACATGTACATGTAGCTTTGGTATTACTTAATTTATATAAATAATATAAAACAATTACATACATGCATGCTTTATAATGTATGTGGGTGTTAAGCTAGATAAAGCCATCAATTAAACTATTGTTATTTCTTGGGGTAGGCATACATGTGAACTATTTTTGACTATTTTTGTGTTGTGCTATGTGCACATTTTAGTAAATAAATAATGAAATTAAAGGCAGCACATCTGGCCATGATTATCATCAATTCTTAATTTCTCTTTACTTGTGTCTTTCTCCCCTCAATTGCAGGTAGTCTCGAAGATTCTGATGACTCCATTACTGAATTGCACTATCAGTTGTATAATAATATCGGTAGGAAACCGATCGATAAAGAAAACTGGATCTTTTTTGCTTCTAAAGTACATCATGCATACACTTATTATTAATTTATTTTATTTTAATTTCTTAAATTTATTAGAAATTTATTAGAATATTAACAGGGGGCAAATTTTATTAAATAGAATTCACCCCCTGTTAATATTCTTTAAAATAATTGAGTTTCACCACCTGTCATAAATTGAATTTTAGTGCTAATTGTATTGTCCACTGTTCTTCAAACAGTGCACTAATATCCAATTTATTTACGTGTATTCATCTTTTATGTATTCACATTACTATAAAGAATTTATAATATTTAATTTTTTTATAGAAACCTGATTATAATGTTATTGATAATGGAATTTTTTAAATTAATTATTGATGTGTGAACTAAGTTTATATAAAAACTTTTATATAACGTCTCTTTCTTTCTCTATCATTCCAAAGCTTGCTTATACCAATAGCTACATTGAAGGGACTTTCGACTATGAAGACTTTGATGTTACTCAGAAGATGCAGCTGCTTAAGTTTCTCTGCGACGCTCAATTCACTCGCAATAATTCCTTCAAGAACCAAATGAACAAACTATTAGAAGAGGGCAACTCCTGGAGTAGAGAAGGACCCGTTGGATTGGATAGAAAGGGACTGAGATACTGGCTTTTACAAGTAATCAGAAGGAGGCGATGGGACAGAGAGAGAGTGTGTGTGCGTGTGATTTATGGAATAGAAAATCAATTAGTTAGAGGGACATGTTTATTACTAAATTGCTTTTGATTTTTTTGATACAAATTGATGTCCCTATGCTATTTATAAAGTTTGAGCTGATTCTGACTCAAATTTTTTTAGTTATGGCTGTTAATAAAAATGAGCTAATTTCTGAAAAAATCCCTGTACTATACCCATGGTTTTTTCCAAAAAATGGCTCCGAAATCACTCCCAATTTTTATTACATTTTCTGATACATATTGATGTCCTTATGCTGCGTAGAAAGTTTGAGCTGATTCCGACAGATAATTTTTGAGTTGTGGCCATTTTATAAAATGGGCCAATTTTCAAAAATTTCCCTGTACTATATAGCCCATGGTTTTTTCCAAAAAAAAGGCCCCAAAATCACCCTCAAATTTTATTACATTTTCTGATACATATTGATGTCCTTATGCTATGTAGAAAGTTTGAGCTGATTCCGACAGATATTTTTTGAGTTATGGCTATTTTTTAAAATGAGCCAATTTCTGAAAAAATCCCTGTACTATAATAGCCCATGGTTTTTTCCAAAAAATGGCTCCAAAACCACTCCTAATTTTTATTACATTTTTTTGATACATATTTATGCTGCGTAGAAAGTTTGAGCTGATTCCGACAAATATTTTTCGAGTTATGGCCATTTTAAAAATGAGCCAATTTCTGAAAAAATCCCTGTACTATAGCCCATGGTTTTTCTAAAAAATGGCTCCGAAATCACCCCCAATTTTTATTACATTTTCTCATACATATTGATATCCTTAAAAAATTATAGTCAAAATCAGCTCAAACTTTATAAATAGTATAAGTTATGAGATAAAATACGTTGATTTTAAAAATTGTCATTATAATATACTTGTACATGTACATGCATTAATTGCTACATGTAGCTTGTATGGGCATAATAATCTATAGTGAGAATCACAAGATAACAATAATAACATTAGGGGAGGTACTGTACATTCATTTCATGTTTTCACTGCACGACCATTGATACTTTTCACAGTAAATGGGCTTGTATATACATGTATGTATAAAGATATTCATTTCGTATCCCTGCAGGTATTTTTATTATATATTATTATGCATAAACCTAGAGATCAATATGCATATCATATTATCTAATGTTTTAAATCATTATCTGCACTACGTGTGTCGAGCAGTAGTTGTTTTGTCTCTGTTGTCTTAGTAAGAAGTATCGAGTGTTTGTATCACACCCTCTCTTTCTCACCATCCTTTCTACCTACAAACCCACTACTAATAATGTGTGTGATCTAATCTGTGCTGAAAGTATATACCAGCTGTCAGTGCATTTTTAGTCCATGTCATCAATGCTTATACATGTACGCATGTGACATGAACATGCATGTACATGTACATGTTTGTGTACATGTACATGCTTTGATATTAATACTGTGTGGATCAAGTGTGTCCATGCCTGTCTTGTATAGCTGAGATGGATAATGTGTGAATGAGGTGCTCCATTAATGGAGAAGAATGAAGGAAAGAAAGAAGAGAGATGAGGGAAAGAAATGGAGAGGAATAGGAGAAAGAATTAAGAGAAACAATACGAGGATAGAGAGCTAGGGGGACTGAGGATCATTAAATTTCTGATGCATACATACACGTACATACACTGTCTATGTCTTTATGTTATGTAAAATGCTAGAGCTGAGAGATGAGAGATGGGATAGAGCTCACCTGCGTGATATATTGGTTTTTGGGATGCATATTGTACTTTCATTATATATAGTACTCTCCCTGTCAGTCTTTTGTTATATTTTAGGATTCCCTTTACAACATTAGACTATACTCAGAAGACAAGTACTTGGAGTATCCTTTTGATCATCCGAAATGGAATTTGATTTGCAAGTAATCTCCCACCCACACAGTCATACACTACAAACCACACACTGTGTATTATCTCGCATTGCATTAATGGAACATGTTTGTACCCTCAACTATTTGGCACTCCTCCAATCAACTCTATTCTTCTATGACGCTACGCTGTACTAACGATTGGTCATTTGAGATCCATAAATGTCTATAATCATGTCTTTATTAATTTAATTTTTCAATTATCAACATTTGGTCATTGGGCTTCTGGTGAATAACTCCAATCCATTGCTATATATGAGCTTGTGATATGGTGCAATGTTGTGGCACCTGCAGGTAGGGAAATACACACGTGTATAATACAATGCATGTTGGTCTATTGCATGTACTAGGAATCAGCTATTTATAAAGGATACATACATGCTCCTCTCAATGGGAGAGAATCTGATTAACTGAGTATGTGTACATTTTGTTTACACGAAGCAGCTTTAGCGTTTCCGCTGTATGCGTGTACCAATAGCACAATTGATTGTTCTAGTGATTAAAGGATGGAGATCGAGTCCATATACATGTACATCTGTATAGTGGGTATATGTTAATTATTATTAATGCCAGTTTGAATTTGCCATCCATTGTATATTATTCTCCATTCTTTGTTTTATTTTGTCTTCTCTTCGTTTTCTCTCTCTCTCTCTAACTTACTAGTATAACAATTTAATAGTCTTATACATGTACATGTGCTTGGAGCGTGTGACATGTTTTAATGGTATTGGGTTACTTCATTGTAAAACAAATGGGCTCGTGTGGTTCCTCTGTTTGTTGACCTTTTCCCTCTGTAATAACTATCCTTTGAAGTAATCTTTTCCAGGGACAGGGGACTATATATACTGTACATGTACATGTATATTTGTGTACATGTACATGTACATACACGTATGTGTATAATAGTATATAAATGCATTTTTGTGCACTATATTTATTACAATAATTGTGTATATACGATATTAATATTAGTATATTGTTACCAACTATACTGTGGATAGCTTATTTTATTCACATGGTAATAATAATTATATATTATTCATGATACATGTACACTATATATACCTCTTTATAATTTTGTTTGTGAATCGGGACATTTGTATTACATGCATGTATGTACATGTACATTGTGTCCATTGGTCCTGCTAATTGTATGATGATAAGTAAATGAGACAGTTTTATTATGATGGCTTTACTCATGGCATTCCTATGTCTGTATGATATCATCTCTTTTCCTAGAAATTTTCACACTGTCTGAGAATATGGCTGTAGTGCTTACAACTAGTCCATGTGTACACACAGACAATGTACTCTCTCACTCTGAAAAATATTAAATAATATGCTAGACAATTTACATGATGGATGATTATGTTATAGCAACAACTCATTATTGTTAGTGTAATGCTGTGCATTTGTAGTTGGTGTGGTGTTTAAGCATGGCTTGGCTTAAAGGAGGAAGTGATGTCAATCCGCCCACTCCCCGTGTGAACCTCTTAATTTGCTCTTTTATACAAATGTATACCTTTGTCTGAGACTCTTCCTGCTTTGACGCATACAGTGTGACTATAGATCTGCGTGTGCATCCCTACACATGTATTCCACATACAAGTACAAATACATATATGTACATGTACAATGTACATATTTAATACACTTTATTGTGTGTTTGTTTGTGTGTGACTTGCATTGGAATCTCTGCAAATCAAAGGGTAGCCAATCGTCTGTGTATGTTGGTCCTATCACGAAATGTCATTGTGTGACAGTGTCATATTTATTCCCATACATGAGCGACTCTTGTCGTTTCCTCTATATATGCAGGTACAGTATTTGAGGTATGTGAAGTGAGTTTTAATTGTCTCACCGGCCGGTGATATCGGACCTTGAGTACAAACAAAGCTTTTGTTAGTGTAACACTGTTTGATTAAATACATGTATGTAGGCAGTTGGTTCTATTGTGATATGACCTTAATTGAAGTGCCACACCTTGATAATGTCAGGCACTTGAACTTTGTACTCTCTATTAGTCTTTATTTAGTCATTGTGCTTTCTCAGGCTTACAAGTACATGTATCTCTTTTCATATTTTGATATTTTAAAGTATGATCATTCATATAGCGTTTATTATTTTTTAGATCTGAAGCGGAATTGAAGTCTTACATCGAGGAGCTGGAGTCATCTCATGTACCTGTGCCTGCACCCTCTGATAAAGAGAAGACATTAGAGACTGAGGGAGAGAAAGAGGATGAGAAAGAGAGCGACGATCCATCCAGCAGTCCACCTGGTTAGGGATTTTATATTGAACGAATTACTTGTACTTGGTACACGTACATGTACATGCAGCTAATATTATGCTAGTGTTGCTACAACTAAAGCATGTGCATTTTCATTTAAGCCGACCATTGACACATTAACAAACACGTGATAAGCAGGTATGTACATCCACATGTACTGTTTATGACAGCTACAGTAGGACACTCAGGAATATAGTATGTTGTGGTTTAATTGGTATACTGCACGTATCCCATTGGGTTATATAATCTAGAGGCCATGCAGCTAGTAAATTGCGTGACGTACTACGTTTAAAATAACTCATTGACATAGTTTGATGCATCAATTAGCATTGATGTAGTTGTAGCTACAAATACATGTATTAGCTCATTATTGTCTTAGACATAAACTATTATATCATGAGGTTGCACTCCTTTTCCTTGTCTGTGACAACCAAATCCAGACAGTTACTCATATCTGTGTGTTCCCACATGCTTCACATTATATAATATTCCTGTGTCACGCACCCGCAGTGTTTGTACTCTCCATTGAGAATTTTATAAGTAAAATTTTTGGTATTTTTACTTTTTAATATGAATGAAGTAATTTTTGTACATAAAAGTAATTTTTACATGCATAAATGTTCATGTACATGTAGTTTATGTAGAGTGATCCTTTGTATTATCATAAGCTTTAGTGCAGAGAAAGAAAGAGAGAGAGAGAGAGAGGGGGGGACTAGGATAGAGACAGGATAAGTTAAGGTCACTTTTCTCTTCTCTTTCTTTTCTAGATAAGTCCCAGAAGGTTGGTGGTAGCGGTAAGAGGAGGAGGAGGAGGAGTAGGAGGAGGAGCTCAAGGCAAGACGCAAAGAAAGTGAAGAAGGAAGAAGTGAAAGGCGGTTGTGTCGTATGCAAAAAAGACACGTTCTATTCCAAGGTTTGAGTGCAGGAGCCTATATCATAGCTTCATGCGAAAAAATTCTGTAGTACATTCTATTCATGCCGGCCACACTTAAATGAATTTTAATTCCTTGATTATTATAATTATGTGTCTATCAAAATATTATATTCCCATACATCTACGCATGTACATGTATCTTTGTATCTTTTTATTCATTGTAGATGTTGTTGTGCGATAAATGTGATTCTGAGTGTCACACTTACTGTCAGTATCCTATAGTCTGGAACATACCTGATGGGGAATGGTTCTGTCCTAACTGTAGAGAAGTAAGTACATGTACATTTAATTTCAAAGACTTAAGGATGTAATGAATTTGCATATGAAATAACCGCTCAGCAAAATCTGTACAATGTACATAAAAGTACACAGAGTCCAGTTTTCTCCATTTACAGTCTCTCATCCTGTGAGCTTGTGCCCAGTTCCCCTGTATTAGAGTGATGTCCATCACCTGTTCCTTGGGTAATTGTGTTTAGAAAGAACGTCATAAGGGCTCTTTCTCTGTAATGTGTTATGATGTTAAAATGTTTGCGTTAATTTTGTCTGCATGTGTACGTACGTGTGGGTCATACATGCTAATTTACTATTATGTGATTATAACGTGTGTGTGTGTGTGTGTGTGTGTGTGTCAATGATGATTAACCTTGCTTTAATTTCCAGGCTAATTTAATATGTCCTATCCCTGGAAATCCTTGCACGCATTGCATTGCCAATATGTGAGCTCCTGCATGGTTTTTAGTCCAATAGGAGAGAGCCCATACAAGAGCCGTATAAACATAATGAGATAATGAATGAATAGGTGCTATGACATAACTGGATTAAGCAGTGCTTAGTTCCTATTGTGTGTTAGTCTTGTATCAAGTGAAATGTCTCTCTCTCTCAGACTAGGATGTACTCTTGTATGTCTGTGATGTTCATATAAAGGATATGAACCAGTCATGAACGATCATGTAATCATTACTTAGCTATGGATATAATATGTACATGTACGTGATGCGTATAGTAGCCTTGATTGTAATGATATAACTTCTGGATTCCAAGCTGTCTCCCTCACACACGCTCATCAAGGCTAATTAATGCACAGTATACCTGTCTCTGTCTGTTCCAGGAACATTTTGATTAAAGCCCGATATTAGCATATACTTGTGTATGGATGCGCGTGTATTAAAAGAGTGGGTGAAAGAGAGGGGAGAGGAAGTTTAAGAAGCTATACAGCTGCTTTCGAGGTTATGGTCTTAGCTACTACTAAAGCATCATCAATTGCATCTCTCATATATATATATATATATATATATATATATATATATATATATATATATATATAGCCTTTGTAAATTGATGCCTTGCTCTATTAGCCGCATAGACCACGCGCTTATGGGTATAGTATATGTACCTCATAGCCATCATAAATTTTATGAGACTTTTGCAATGTTGTGCAGAAAATTTGAGTCAGTTTCGATCGCAAATTCTTGAGCTATTAGCATTTGTTGTGTTAATGAAAGTCAGACATCTTTTTAAAGACATTTTGTGTGTAGTCTGTGATGATTCTGTAGCACGTGTGCTCCTCTCATTGTTTCTCATTGTGTATACAAATACATATAAAAACAGACAGACACTAGTGCTTCCTGTCTCTCAGACAATAACTGTCTGTGGATGTAATAACAATTAATTACTCTGTTAAGCATACATAATTTGCATTGTAGTTGTATACCGTATAGTGCTTTATTTTGGTGGCTCTTTATTTTGGCAATTTTGCTGTAAAATCGTAATTAGCGGTTTTTTATTTGGCGATTTTTGTGTACACGCGTGCATTACTGAGCATGCACATTGATGATTGGCAGTTTTAATATTGGCAATTCTGCTTGCAAACCGCCAATCGCCAAAATAAAACTCCGTCAAATTAAAGCGTTATATGATATTCAGATTAATAATAATAATAATTTTTGTTTTCTCTCTTTTTTCATTTTATTTATAATCTGGGCCTACCCATGCATATCCAGTCAGATTTATGTATTGTATTTTATGTATAATAACTCTGCCAATGGTCAAGTGATATTAAAGCAGCTCTTTATGTGACTATAGAGATTGCAGAGATGACCCTATTAATGCATTAATGTTAATCATTGAGTCATTAATGGATAAGCTTATGGAAAAAGTGGAAGTTAGAAGTCACTGTAACTGAAATCAGACTCATTACGTATTGTATGTGCTTCCAGTTCTGTTGTTTTATTTCCTTGTGTGCATATACATGTGCCTTATTATTTACATTATTATTGTTAATGAGGATGTGAAGTTGAAGGTAATCTGTGTCTATACATTCCATCGTAGTGTAACTGAGTTGTATTGGTGACCGTCCCTCTGTGTTCCCATTATCATGTTTTGTTATAAACTGTAATTGGGGGATTTTTAAAAAATTTGATACTCAGTACGATACGTATTTATTTATATTGCATATGACAATTAGTGTAATCCTATCCTATATACAAAGTACCTACATGTATGATCAAAATTATACAAATAATTACGTATGTCTCTTCTATGTGTATTAACTTTTAAAATTTGAATTTATAAATTCAGCGTGTTTTTTTTTATTTCATGAACATTCAAATCCCCTCACTTCCTCTCTTTCTCCTGATTTATACATGTACTAGTCAATGTATGTTGTAGAATCAGACAGAGTTGTAGATAGTTTTTATAGCACGCTCTAATTACGTCCTGTTAGGTGAACTTGTGTGGGTACTGTGGGTTTAAGGGCCACCAATGAGACACAGAGAAAAAGTGATGAACAATTGACTATAAAGATAATGCTTCATTGTAATGTGTTAGAGACTATACGGTACAGTTTAAAATGAGAATGTGAGTATGCATTATAGTACATTCCGATTCCGAGAAAGTATAATAGTATATCATTAATGCAGGGCATGAAAGGGATACTGTTTCTATGTGTATTTTTGTATTCACACGCCCTAACCTTTTTAAATTTATATAAAGCATGTGTACAATGTGTGTGTGTGTGTGTGTGTGTGTCAGAAAATTTAATTAAAATGGAGAATTCTTTACTTGCCATTTTTGATGAAATTTGGCCTGAGACTGTGTACTATATAGTACAGGGACTTTGACCTGATTTTTGAGTAACTTTAAAATTTATATAAAAATCTAATTTTGATCGTAATGAGCTCAAACTTAAAACACAACATAAGGACATTTATGCATATCAGAAAAATTATAAAAATGAAGAATTCTCTCCTAGTCATTTTTGGCGAAATTTGGCCAAGATCCCTGTACTATTTTGTTTGGGGGTGAATCCTACTTAGTAACGCTACTGCATTACTAATAGTACAGGGACTTTGACCCGATTTTTGATCAACTTTAAAAATTTATAGAAAATCCAATTTCGATCGGGATTAGCTCAAACTTGCTACACAACATAAGGACATGTATACTTATCAAAAAACGTATATAAAATTGGAGAATTCTCTCCTTTTGATGTATGTCAAATCAAATAACAAGTTTGATGATAATAATGTGATTAGCTGATTAGTCATGCGTATTTGAATGTGTACAGTACAGTGTATGTGTCAGTGTATCCTGTTTATTAATGAACCATTAATCTGAATTAAAATACCTTTGCCCATACATGGAATGTGTTGCTAAGAGATTGTTCCAAAGGCTGTGAGTATCTGAACCTGAAGTATGCATTCATACACAGGCTCATAGTGTAGGGTTTATGTGTGAATATTTCATTTCCCTTGATATTATAACATCATATCTGCCTGTCTCCCCTACTCTGCCTCTTTCCACCTTTTCCATATTCCTCCTACTCCTTTTTCTCTTCCTCTTTTAGTCCACCTCCCCCTGCATTTTCTGTGTCGCTGTCTGTCTCCCCCTCTCTCCCCCTCTCTCTCCCTCTCCCTCCCTCTCCCCCCTCTCTCCCACCTCTCTCCCCCTCTCTCTTTATCTTCCCTCTTTCTCTCCTCTCTCCCTTTTACATAACATCTTATAATCACCCTTACACCCTGCCAAAGTTTGTAGAGTAATTGGTTTTTGCCTTTAAGTATAATTTCAATCCTTATGTACATGTGCATGTGTGAAAACACAATAAATTTCTCCAAAGTGAACAAACTATATTGTCCTAATTACAAGGCAATAATTGGAAAGACCTCACATTATGATGATTGCATAAGAGCATTACTCAACAATCATGTGTGCTTGTGTGTACAATCCTCAGGATATGGAGATGAATGAGAGAGGAAGAGTTTATTAACAAATTGTTGTACTGTTAACTGCATAACAAGTCTGCCTGCCTTCTGCTGATCTCCACCTGCAATAGCAGCCACACTGGCTGTTATATCATTGGGTCTTGTGATACAGTGTCAGTATGTAGCATCAAGGGTTTGGTTCTGTTTATTAAAGCCCATATATGGTAGCGTGGGCCTCATATCTTATTATTCAGTTTAGCTATTTGTTCGAGTACAAGTCAGCTCTACTGAACTCTGCTAACACTACAAGTTTAGTAACACGACCTTTCAGATCAGCTTTAACCGCTTATTGACCTTTCGCTGGTCACCTTCTAATCTGATATAGTGTAGCATTCTGCTCTACTGTGAGATATGTAGCATCATATGTACGGTATATTTTAGACTTCTTAATGTGAGAAGTTTATACATCTAAGAAGTAATTCCATTTGCATAATGTAATTACTTAATGTAATGGACTGTTGCATTGTGTGTGTGTGTGCGTGCGTAAATTCATTTTTAAGCTGCCATTGTGGTTTACGTTGGTTAGGAAGTAAGTGGTTTCTAAATGGAAGATGTCACTGCTCTCATTTGTTTGGTCCTATTATTATTATTATTTATTCACATCTTGCATGCTTGCATTATACTGAAATCAATGACCTTATGGTGGTCCTGCTCCAGCTGCTATCATAGTGCTTTTGACATTTTAAGGAATCAGTTCCACTGCATGGTGAATATGCCTCATGAAACTTTGTGGCTACCTTGATCTCATGGTAGTTTCATTGCTTCAAGTTGAAGTAGAACAGTGATCAAGTTGAGGCAGAGAAGATCAAAGTGACCTCAAAGTTTCAAACATCACATTTGTCCGCTGGAATGCTCCTGTTTTAATTGTAATATTTATAGTGGTTCATGATATTTCCTAGAGTGCTTTTATGAATGTTTTTACATGAAAATTATTTCATGTTCACATGTGATCTATCCACTGCCCTGCTTCCTTTTCCACCCCCTCACTTTTATTCTCACTAACTCTCTCTCTCTCTCTCTCTCTCTCTCTCTCTCTCTCTCTCTCTCTCTCTCTCTCTCTCTCTCTCTCTCTCTCTCTCTCTCTCCCTCTCTCTCTCTCTCTCTCTCTCACTCTCTCTCTCTCTCAGCTTCAATTGATTGAGGACCTCAAAAAGTTTCACTTTGAGCTAATAGAGGGTATGTATCTGTGCGAGAAGAGGATGGAGGAAGAGCAGAAAAAAATAAAAAGGTACTTCTTATCCAATTGATGTCTGGCATATTAGACAATCATCATCCTACAGTGCAGATTGATAATAATAATTATTGTACTGTATTAATGATTAGCAGCTTGTATGTAATAATGAGAGCTTTGATAATGAATGTTTTATTTAGTATGTTAAAATATGATTGTGTGTGTGTAGCAGTGTGTGTAGCAGTGTGTGTGTTATGGTGATACTGCCTGCCACAAGATAGTAATGTTGTTCTCACTGTGTGCCACAGTAATACTAATGTAATTATAGCTTAGTTGGATCAGCTCTACTGTATACACACACACACATTATACATCATCATGATGTTGTTAATGATCATGATTCAAAAAAATTTTTAATCACAATTGATGCTAAATGTTTAATTTTTGTGAGAAAATGTGACAAAAATAGAGAGAATTCTCTCCTAGCCAGCCAGCATTCTTAGTAAAGTATATCGTGCATGTTATCTTTTGAGCAACTTTAAAAATTTGTAACAAATCCAAACTTGATCAGAATGAGCTCAAACTTTCTATGCAACATAAGAACATGTATATGTATCAGAAAAAATTATAAAAATGAAGAATTCTCTTCTAGCCATTTTTGATGAAATTTGGCCTGAGACCTGTACTATAGTACAGGGATTTTGGCCAGATTTTTGAGCAACTTTAAAAATTCATAACAAATCCAAACTTGATCGGAATGAGCTTAAACTTTCTACGCAACATAAAAACATGTATATGTATTAGAAAAAAAATATAAAAATGAAGAATCGTCACCTAGCCATTTTTGACGAAATTTGGCCTGAGACCCTGTACTATAGTACAGGGATTTTGGCCAGATTTTTGAGGAACTTTAAAAATTCATAAAAAATCCAAACTTGATCGGAATGAGCTCAAACTTTTTACGCAACATAAGAACATGTATATGTATCAGAAAAAAATATAAAAATGAAGAATTCTCTCCTAGCCATTTTTGACAAAATACCCTGTACTATAGCCCATGGTTCTTAAGGCACTTATATATACATGTAGTTCATGCAGATCCTACACTATAACACGTGTTACTGCCCAAAGCATGTGTACTGTGTCTGCATGATATCTGTTTGTTAAATTCCTGAAAGACACTCCATCCACATCCTCCCATATGACTACCATTCACATTACATAACAAGTACATATATATACATGTACATGTACTGTATATAGTACGCATTCACACACACACATGCCTTTATTTGTACATGTGCACCATCAAGATTGCTTCCTTCAGTTTAACATGATCACTCAATGATCACTTTCAATTGCTAATTTTTCTCCATAGGCTACAAAGAGGTGGTGTTTTAGTACAGAATATCATATCAAAAGTAAGCAAATCAACATCACATCTGTACCCATACATTGTGTATTGTTAGTACATTGTGTATATTGCCCTATTTTTCTTATGCTCTTTTGAATTTTTACAACTCTAATTTGGCCCTTCCATGCCTAAACATTAAGTGTCATTTTTTAATTTAGTCCTTTAGAGTACACTGTGGTTTGGCTCTTTTTCTGATTAGTGTGAAAAAATGAAATAGTAATGGACTAATAGTATATGCCATATAATACTGGACAACAGTGCATGGGGTCTCCTCTGAGAGAGTTTGTTTAGCTATTACTTGTGGCTTAGGATGAATTTACATTTCATGGTTTGTGGTCGTTTCCTCTTTCTTCCTAGTTCTGTAGCTCTTTAAATGTGCATTTTGTGTCTAAAATAAGTTCCAAGTTTTAATTGTGCATATGCAGTGGATGCTAGCTGACAGAATGCTTGTATTATTAAGAGGATTGAGCAATACTGTATGATGCAAGCATGCTTTTACAGTTATTTTATGTGTGAAATTGATGTACAAGTGTGTGTGTGTGTGTGTGTGTGTGTGTGTGTGTGTGTGTGTGTGTGTGTGTGTGTGTGTGTGTGTGTGTGTGTGTGTGTGTGTGTGTGTTTGTGTAGTAGCTAGACTATATGTACATGTACATTCCTTTCCTGACTGAAATTTTCTACCTATCAGCCATGAGTTAAAGGTATTCATTCCATTAGAGGAATGCTACACTTTGCTGTACATCCTGTACATGTCATCATACTCTGTCATATAGTGAGTGTATCTACCTATACTGTACATATGGCTGTGTGTCATCACCATTCACTGTGAATTGCTTAATATGTTCTCTACTGTATGTACATGTATATATATATACATGGTATGCCTGTTATGCAGTAATTATGTGTTTGTTTAGTTATATTTTCAGTTTCTTGAGTGCCCTAATGTTTTATGGGCATTGTACTTCCAAGAATAGCATATAATGATACAACATATCTAGATACCTGAAAGTGTCCCCTTCCCTTCAACTCTCTCGCTCTGTTATGCATAAGAGGTAGGAGGGACTCCTACTTGTACAATGTGATCCCTTTTAATTTTCCAACACTTTCAATAGACACCTGCTAATGTATCAAAATGTCACCTCTACATTAAATAAACTATATACGCCTACAGTACATCCCTGCACTTGTGGCTGGTCTCCCTGTTAGAAATAAACAATTGATACTTTGTATGAGATTAGTGGGGGAGTACGTGTACTGATGTGCATGTAGTTTTTTGGTGATAGAGCATGTGTTATCGGTTATAACCCACTCAGCAGTGGCACATTGGCTATAAATCATGTACATTAGTTACATTTACTGGCCAGCATGAGAACTATAGCTAGTGAAGCATTTATTCCATACCAGATTGCCTTCCTTCCTCTGTATACAAATTCTTTGTGAGAGTAAACATGATCCTACACAACTAATGAAGCTTGGATCTGTAGTATGTTCAAAGAGGAACTGTCGCTATGCAACGTGTAGTGATGAGAGAAGAAAGAGAGGACTGGGGAGAGTGGTATAACCTTTATTGTTATGTGTATATATATAGGAATGTGTCGCTGAAGATATTGATGCTCCACGTAGATCAGGTCGATCCAAAAAACAAATAAACTATGCCCAATTGAATGAGCTTGATATACACACTCTGGCACCTAGTCGCTCCTCGTTGCGTTCAATGCACAGTAGAGCCTCGAGATACCTCAATCACGTTACACCTTCATCCTATTATACTACCAGGAGGACGAGGTTGCTGCTAGAGAAGAAGCTGGACTCGGTTAGGAGCTCGACAAACGCTTCTTCTAATTCTCCTCCGCTTGTCAATGAGGGAGAGAAAGAAGAGGAGGAGCCTTCTTGTCAATTGGAGGTATCGACTGTCATGGAGCAACAGTCTATACAGCAGAAAGGGATTGGATCGCCTGTCTCTCCTATGCTCTGCAGTTTCCCTTTGGAAGTACTTGGTTACTCTTCTCCATCGTGTAAAGACATCACTACTAATACTACTACTACTACTGAGGGTCATGTTAATACTGTCATTGAGGTATCTCTTTCATCTGCTAGTGCTCCCATAGACTCCACTCCCTCTCTTTCTACTCCAATGAATCAGTCATCATCACACATTGTGTCTACCATCGCTGACACTACTAATCCTTGTGCTCCTACACGCGCAGACTCACCATCAGCTGTAGGCCATTCACATCCATCCAGACAGTCCACTAATACTTTAAGTACTCCAGCAGCTCATTCCAGTCTAACACAGTCTCATTCTCCTCCAGTCCAAGCAGTCACTCATCCTCCTAGCTCAATCCCAACACACACTTCATCAATCCATGCTCCTATTCTACCAGTGGCTTTGCATTCAGCCACTACTCTATCAAGCACTAATTCTATTGGGCCAAGTATCCCTCACTCTTCTCTACATGATACACCTAATACATACAAGCACTGCATTCCTCCTAATACATTAGCCTACCAGGAACAAGCCAATCCAATGAGCTACTCTTCTACAACTAATTCATTGATATGTTCTACTCTTAGCTTCAGTCCTTCCATCAGAACAGAGGGATCCTGTATTACTGGAACTTTCACTTCCAGCCTCCAGTCTCCCAGCCTCCAGTCTGCCCTAGCTAAGGATTCTTCTCCCATTGTAGCACCTACTACCAGTCAGTCTCCTAAGGATGCCTCTGCTGTACAGGAAGCTCTACAAGATGAAGATGATATTAGATAATTGAATAAAGTCTGGAGTGTTCTTATCCTCTGACGCATAGATCTCCACCAAAGGAAGCAATTCTACTATTATTTATTATCATTACTATGATGAAGATGTTGATTTATTATTATTATTATCATTATGATTAATATAGATTATTATTTTTGTTAATATTATTATTATTATTATTTATGTTGTGTTTTTAAGTTTTCTTGGAAGGAGTTTGATTGTCAATATAGATAAGACATCTGCTGTGTGTAAGCTTACTTTGTGCGCAACCGATCGCATAGCCAATTATTATAGCAATAATAATTATTATACTAATAATTATATGATACTATTGACAATAAGCTTCAGTTACTGTTGCCTTTTATTATTGGCATTTTTATTCATTGTCTGAGGATTTTGGTCCCATTCTGTGGCTATTATAGTCCAGTGTTTATGTCACACGGTATTATCATCTCACTCTATGTAAAGTGGGTGAGACGTGTACGTATCTACTCCTAATGCTGAGAATTGGACACAAAGGCCTTGTTTATTCATTGCATCTCCAATACAATAGGATTTAGGGTGGTTCTATTGGTGCTTGGTTACTGCTCCTGTCCATCCACTATGTATCTCATTCCTTTCCTTTTTGAACTGTTTACAAATTTCAAGTTTAGCTTGTCATTCCCCTCCTCTCCTACTAGTGTGCTATGTGGCTCCTTGTCAGTACATGATGTCCTCCATTTGCTTTGAATGCACGACTTGTTTGGTCATTGGAGAAGTGTTGTACTCACATTGTCACTCGTACATTTTGTTGCAATAACAAGAACCTATCTTTAGTACTTTTTTCAACAAAAAATTGCATACACATAGAGAGCTTTAGATATGCTGATTCTTTCATCATATCATCATCATATGCACACACTGATCTCAGTAGTGTACATGCAGCTAACCTTGCAAATTACTAGGAATAGATTATGTGTGGGATAGTCCGTGAACTTATTAGAAAGTGGTTATAATAGATAGTTTAAGATCCACCTTAGAAAAAACACACCAAAAACACTTTGTGCATGCATGCATGCATTACTGCAACACACTATAGATATCTAGTTTTAGCTGTTATGCATTGCAATTTTCAAGGAAAAGCATCAGTTTATTTAATCTTCCTCAAGGGTCATGGATTGTATTGATCCATGACTCATACTTTTGACTTACATGCCAGACCCCATCAATGCTTTGTAGACCTGCATGTGTGTGGGCGTGGGATTGCTATTCGTGATGAAGACTAATACATCAAAGAATGTACGACACGTAACTGTGTGACTGCATGATTTTGGTGTTTATGTCTACGAGCTCCTGTGATGACCGTCTAGTGTCTGTTCGTACGAGTACGTCAAGTGATAAAGGAGTGTACTATGCACGGCTCTCATTACTAACATTCTCAACACTGAACAAACACATGATTGACGACTTGACAGAATAGCTGATCGAATAATTGAATTTTATTAATGCTTAGATTGCTGCTGCTTGCTGCATTTGAAGTTTGCAAATGGAGTAAATTTCTATACACTTTTTTTTAAAACATAGACCAATTGAGACACAAAGTATAACAAGACTGCCAAAAATGAAGAGTAATTATATTAGATAGAGTCCAAGTGTGAGAGTGAGCAAGTGAGTGATATAACAAAATAATAATAATAATAATAATATATAATAATGGAGAGAGATGTGACAATTCTTTGAAATTAGTAATAATAATAATACCTGATGTGCTGTTTGGAGCATAGTAAACTGTGGTTGTTTAAAGAAAAGGAGAAAAAAAGAAAGATACAAACAAAATAGAAAAGGTATGAAAGGGGTATGACACAAAAGAAAAATAGTAGAAAGAGAGTGAGGGAGATAAAGAGAGTTTTCTAGTTCTGGAAAGCTACACAAACTATTAGTCTAATGTATGATAGAGAGGTGGTTAGTTGACCTACATCAAGTGCTGTAGGGGTAAAGTACCTCCTGCCCCATCAAGTAGAGATTCAGCACTATTCGTGAAATTTGATGAATTACTTGCTATGAAATCTGTGCATTGTGCCGATGCATTTAATAACTTGAACTCTGCAGTGGGTGGTCTGGAGGAGCCACTTGGCGGAGGGGTTTCTGTCGGACCTGGACACGAATTAGACTCTTCCAAGTAAGTGGAGATCATGTTGCGAAGGTCGCTCTCGGCACCAGAGTCATTGCTGTGGATACTGGTACAGTCATCGGAGACCTTGCAATTGCTAAGGATCACTTCAGAGTAAGAGTCGAGGCTTTCAACGGGAGAAGATGCTTTGGGCGGACTCCCTAGAGCAGAGTCCATTCCAGAGAAGACTAGAGATGTAGGAGAGGTAAGGACAGAGGCAAGGGAGCTGTTACTACGGACGGACATGGCAGCAGAGTAAGTGTTTAGGGGGTCGTTGTAGGAATTGACTATGCAGGATTGTTGGAGAGGGCCAGTAGTGCTTTGCTGAGCACAGGCTCCAGGGCCCATTGTGACTGGAACTGATGATCCAGTTGCATAGTCTGTTGGCAGTGGGCTGTGTTGCTGTCCAGTGTTTGGATATGGAGCTGTCATGTTGTTCCAACTGTGGTAGCTTGGGCTGGGGACAGTAGGCGACCTCGTGTACCCACCACTGTATCCAGTATAATAGCTATGCTGTCCATTCCCTGGAGTGTAATAATAGCCACTCTCCTGTGGATATTGCCATCTTCCTCCCGATGGTATGTGCCCAGCATGTACTATGTGCCTGCTCTGATGGTAGGGTGGCCAGCTTCCTATGCCTGGAATGATTCTGGTGTTGGTTGGGGTCTGCTTCTTTCTCTTTGGCTTGTATTTGTAGTTTGGGTGCTTCTTCATGTGTGCCTCTCTCAGTCTCTTGGCCTCATCTATGAATGGTCGCTTGTCCTCCTCGGAGAGAGCCTTCCACTGGGTTCCCAGTCTCTTGGAGATCTCAGAGTTATGCATCTTTGGATTCTCGTCGGCAATCTTCTTTCTCATCTTCCTCGACCAGACCATGAAGGCATTCATGGGACGCTTAACCTTGTCGTCTTCCTCCATGTCAGAAGGGTTGCTCCCGTGAGGGCCACCATTCCCTGTCTGCCCGCCAACAAGTGGAGGGGAGACACTGTGCTCCAGCTCTGAAGCCTGAGGAGGTACAATCGAAGTAGAGCCAGTGGGGCCCGGCATGGCGTAGTGAGGAGGATACCCAGGCATGTTTGGCAAAGACATGATATGCATCGTACTCTCTCTCTCCAACATAGATCCACTAATAGTCTCCACGGTGCAGGCTTAGCTAGGCTGGTAGGTCAGTAGTCACTACACACACGCACGGACACAGCAAGAAAAAGATAACAAACAGCTGAGAGCTAGATCAAAGACTCCACTGAGATATAGCTATTATAGTCTGCTAGATTCATGCGAGACTTTGCAGTTGAGTCTGCTTTTATATAACTCCTACCAGGCCACGCTTGGCTGCACTTTCGCCACATCCCAAATTCCGCCCACGCAAATTCACAATTATTATGGCATCAATGGCTAATTAATTGTTATATCAAAAATAAGTTTTTTTCTCGAATAAACATGATGGATTAGGATAACACAATAATAATAATAATAGTAATATTGATAAAATAATAATATTGGATAAATGAAAAAATAATGATAAATATTCAAAAATTAGAAAGTAGAAAAGATGGAGGGAGGGGAAAAGATTAAAATACACAATTTAATGACAAAATACGATTATAATTTGAAAATCAGAGCAGATATGATGACAACAATTATAATTATCATTTTATTCATTTATTATTGTACAATCAGTTCACACATGTAAGTACTATAATAGGAGAGGAGCATATAATTAAACTTTTAATGATGAGAGGAGGAGGAGAAGGATTGAATCATGATTTTGAATGAACATGTATTGCAGGAGCCGACAAGTGTCTACTAACAGGCCGTGGGTTGTCTTTCTTCATGAAGCATCGACTAAGCATCATGAGGGTCCTACGCGCATTCAATAATACCAGACCCTCCATATCAATCACCTAAGTAAAAAGAAATGGGAGACTAAGTCAAGCATTATAGTAATAACAAGTAGCCTCTAGTCTTTCATAAGTATTACACAACTGCCTCTTATCTACCTGCTCATTGTACTTAGTTATGTGAAGCATGAATGGTGTCATTGTCTTTGGTAATCACAAACAATGCCTGTACAAAGACCAGGCCAGAATCTATAGTCTAATCTATAATAAACTAGAGGGAACACTTCTCTCTGCTATTATAATTGCGCTTAAATTAAAAGGTACTTAATAATCTAATGTGTGAATGAAAAGGTACTATATTCTATACATGTACCTGCATATGGAATGCCTATCATAACAGTATACATATAAACATAGATTCATACATGTACATACCACCTGTCACACTTTAAACACTGACATTAAGATTATTTCATAAGCCACATTAAGTCATTTAAAATAATGACAAGTGTGGGTCTATATACTATACACTATCCTATAATAGCACTGTCTGTACTTACGGGATCTTGGAGTCGCTGCTGCTCTAACAGATCCTCAAGGCAGAGCTTCTTTTCATAAATAGCTTTATCATTACCTGTTAATAAACAAGCATTAAGTATCTTTTATAATATAAAATATAGAATTGATCAAACTCTCTCTCTCTCTCCTTTTCAATCTAACAAAAAGTGATCATATTCTCATAGAATGATAACATATAAGTTGCTTGGTAACAAGGGACAGGTGGTTTTGCCTAATTCTCCACACTCAACCGACAAGATATACACAAGTACATGTTCATAAGCATACATGTACACTGGACACAGTCACAACAGAACAGTATGTATAATTGTTCTTTCCACCAGCTACACAACTCGCAAGCTAGGGCTCTTAGCAAACCTTCAATATATGAAATGGAGTTAATATACACAAAACCAGACAAGTATAGCAACATAGCATAAGATTCCAAGCATTAGCTAAATTCCAATACAAAGGTATTGACGAACAGCTGAGGTTTCTAACCAATTACAATTATAATGACTGCTTCATTTGCTATTAAGGATCTTCAAACACTCTTTGCTACTCAGGCAGGCTTCTCTCTATCAGTCCTATAGCTTTGGAATTGTACATAACATACCGGTACCTATTCTCACAATATTATTAGACACAGAGACACTCATAGTCATAAGATTACACAAGCCTCCCCATCATAAGAAGAACATGTACACAAGTACTGGACTAACTCATAACTAACCGAACACAACAAAAACAAGCTCAAACTTTAAACTGGAGACTGTTACCATAGATACATCAGGAGATCAAGTCTTCATAATAATTGCCCTCATACGCTTGTTGTCATTAAAAATTAATTGGTATTACAAACAAGCTCACATCAAGCCATTAATATCAATCATAATACGCACTCCCACTGGACAGCCCATAAAACAATACTGAGTCTATGTATGGGGTAATGCATGCACATCCAGTCTTGAGAAATATTAGACTTTAATGAGTTTGTCAAATAATTAAGTTGTTGACCTTCACAAAAACAAATACGTACGCACATTGTGTACACATTGCATACAAACACACACAACAAAACATTACCCCTACAACAACAATAATAAATAAAAAATAAAGAACAAACATAGATTGTACATACATGTACATACAGACAAACAACCGACTGCCTTATGCCAATTTAATATACAATGTAACACGTTGACAGATTGAAATACATACAGTAAAGTCAAGGGAGCACATACACATATTTGAGATAGCAGGCAGTGTAATATGTAATACAGTATCAGCCTCACGTAGCAGGAAATCAAAGTTAACGAGTTGGAAAGAAGATACCATATCATGCGTTACACATCTCCCACTAGCACACACACTCCATTGCTGGCTTGAAACTTGTAGGGTGAGAAAGGAGAGAGGGGTGACATGCAAGAATGCCTTCTAAAATTATATCGAATTTCATCTGAAGCCTTTTTGGGGTGAAGAAGCATATATACTAAGGGAGAATTGAGCGTACGTGTCGTGCCATAAGCAATTAAATGTGTGTGACGTGAAAATGTGCACATGTATATGTACATGCAGTACATGTACAAATGTACATGTACTGTATATGAGCCAATGTAGGATGCATTATTAAATAAAATTGGTATTGTAACTGATGTATACCGTGCTGTACTTTTTTATTATTTATTTATTATTATTAATGACAATGGCATCCTGTGTACAGGTGGAGCACTACATGAGAGCATTCACCTCCCTCCCTCTCTCTCTCCCTCTTCCTCCCATTCTTTATTGTTGTAAACATAAACAAACTTTATTGTCCTCCTTCACTCCATTTTTCTCTTTCTCTCTCTCTTCTTAAATACTCATATGCCTTTAATTACATTTATCTCTTTATCTCTGCCCTCAACCTCCTTCTCTCTCTCTCTTTCTCTCCCTCCCTCTCCCTCTCTCTCTCTCTCTCTCTCTCTCTCTCTCTCTCTCTTTCCATATAAAGTATATGGACCACATCCTGTAGCTGCAAGTGCTACACTTAGAGACAAGTGGGCATCACAATGTGCCATAAAGTCAAAACACTCCCAATCTCTCAACAATCCATTCTGTGAGAACAGAGAAATAAACTTTAAAAAGCTTTTGTCTATAAACTACTCATCAAAGGCCTCACCGCACAGGAAATGACATGGAATCTACCTCCATTGTCTTATGCAGAGAGGAATGGGCGAATGTATATGTACATGTACATACATGTACTGTACATTGTGGTACATGCCTACCCACACACACACTAAATCAAAGAAAGACAAGTAAAATAATAATAAGATAATGTAGTAGTGTACTATTGCAAATCAGATGTGCATCTATGTACATGCAATAATACATTTGTATTGCTCTTTATTCAAATTGTGCATGTAGTAGTTTGCTGCAATTAAGGTAAGAGGACAGTCCAGCATGCAGGACTACACTTTATCCATGCATGTACATGTAAATGTACGTGTATATCTATTTCTGTCACTTGAAGCATACAAATTTGTACAAATCACAGACACACGGGCACAAAAGACTGAGAAAATGTTATTGTCACTTATTTTCAGTTGAAATATGATACTGCATTAAATTTAATCATATGTACATGTACATATGTACATGTACATGTATATAAAGTACATTAGGGACCCATTTTATTGACATGGTGATGGCTAGTGAGATTGCTAATGGTTCAATTAATGTACATTAAATAATTAAAGGACATGACTAGACTCTTCCTCTCTATAAATGTCGACAATATAAATGTTTTCTAACCTTTTTGATGTACAGTGATACTGTATATACCAGGCTCAACACAAAATATGGCATAGTACATAGTTCCTCGCCTATGGACAAGAATAACAACACAATAACAACAACAACAATAGCAACAACAATAATAACAACAACAATAACAATAATAATAATAATACCTTTGTACTGGTATGCCAGGTGATTCAACAATGACTCCAGCCTTCTCTAGCTGAGAATGACTAAACTTGTACACACCTCTTTGTTTTCGGAACATCCCTGGTTGAGGCAATTGCTAAAGAGAGAAAAAAGAGAAAGAGAGAGAGGGGAGGGAGAGAGAGAGAGAGAGAGAGAGAGAGAGAGAGAGAGAGAGAGAGAGAAAGAGAGGGATTTAAACAATACAATTGTTATACTAATAGTCAAATACATATCATACAACACCAACTAACAGTCCAGGGTCCATCCCAATCATACAGATTGAGCTATTGATCAGAAAGTTCAATCATTAATATATCATTTAATAATATCCCAGAGTCTGTGTGCGTGTACATGTAATTATATTGGAGAGGACTTCAAAAAGAAATGATGTTATGACATTCGAGAGATTGCATTGCTATGGAGACTGTAAACAAACTCATGAGAGAGTACATGTATATCTGGCAGTTTCATAGCCAGTAACAAAACATTTCACACACACACACACATACACACACATACACACACACATTGTACACTGTACACTGTACAGGTTTTTGAAGAGAACAAGAAAGGAAGAGAGAGAGAGAGAGAGAGGTCTATGGGATGAAGTTAAGAGAATACACAGACAAATATTTGGAAAAGAAAGAAAGAGGGGGAGAGAAGGAAGAGAGAGGGATAGCATTAAAGAAAGTTGATAAGTAAATAAATAAGAGGTTGTTATTACAAAATGAAATGCTAGTAATACTTGCATCCACTTACCCCTTCTGCTACTTTAGCACGAACAGCATCCAAATATTCTACAATAAAGAAACAGCATAAGAATAATACCACAGGCACTATCACGTACAATAACACACCTCCTAACTTATACTCACAATTACATGTACACACACATGTAGCTATACTGGCATAGGTACAGCAATTCATGATACCAATGATGTAGGTGAATTACACCACAGTAAATAAGAGAATGAACCCACTGATGTATTCCTCCAATAGAGACAGTCACCAGTCTTATTTACTTTAAAAGAATTCAACCCACAACAGTCAGGCTATCCCCTCCCCATACAAAAAACACATCGAGGGCTAAAAGCTTCAAGGAAGCACTCAACATTCTCATGCTCAATTAGAACCATTAATACCCAAACACTGTGCATTGTCTGTGCCAATAGAGAGGGGATTGGCTTGATGCTTTGTCCTATGCTGTCGATAAGGTTGTGTGGTGGCTCAAGGCTACACTGGTGTGTACTATAACAAACTATCATACACTAACTAACTGAATACACCATCATCTCATTCCTGATCCACTTCTCACTCCTAGTGAGCACTCACTCTAAATAGAAGGAGAGATAGACACAACACCTGCCCCATCAGTTTGAGTTTATGGACATGAAGGCTCACAAAAGTAGAGCATAATGACTATTGTCAACCCTATAACCCACACACACTTATCTCAACAAAAACCTTTATAGAACCAATATATGGACACAATACATACCACCTGAGGTACCACACAGGTGGAGCTTTGCCAGTACATTGAGCAGAGTTTACTTTCTCACCTCTATATGCCTCCAGCTGTTCCTCTAAGAACTCTGAATGCTCTGCAATTGTCTGTAGTAATGAAAATAATAATGATGATGATGGTGATGATAATGCAAGCATATAGAAGCATGTTCCCTTTAAATTGTAATTTTAAGTTAATCTAACACCCTCTCTAACACCTCTCCCTCTCCCTCCCTCTCTCCCCTCTCTGGCGCTCCCTGGCAGGGTCAAGGGGTCATTAGTGAAGGTGTTAACTCCATTTTTAATGGTTCATGTGGATTGGTGAAAATGATAGCTGAATACAGCAACACTTCAATGTTTATTATGACTATGATGACACTATACCCAATCTTACAACAGCTGTCCAATGGATCATACAATATGTGTGTACATGCATGGGATAGTGCAATAATAATAATAATAATTATTATTATTATGAGAGAGAGATTATGCATGTACAGCAGTTGAGATCATTGTTTGAAATATTTTGGAACATTCTCGAGTCCTAAGGGTTTCAAAAATTTAAATTAGTAGTCAATTCCTACCACAAGCTTAGCTCTTGTCTGAGATCCTCCTCCTTCACCACTCAATAGAGAGTGGTTTGTCATACTCACTCTGAAGTTAAAGACTATACAGCCCACTCACAAAGACATGTACATTATTGTATAGAGTTGGAGTATCTACAAAGAGCTGACGGGCCTAATGAGTACTATATGATCCATGTACTGTAGAACAGCTAAGTACAAGCCAACACTGTAGCACGTTAATGGGATTCTCTGTCTGCCTTGAATAAGGTACAATGTTGTGAACATTGACTACAGCAACGTCAATAGACTAGTGTGTGTGTATATGCACCCATGCAAAAGCAAGCAATGTGTACAATGATTGATATATATATATATATATATATATATATGTATATTAATTATGATGCCTGTGTACATGTACATGTATGCGTATACTTACTTCTTGTACTCCTCTAAGACTAGTAAGCTCTCCTTGACTCTTTTCCAGTAAGACCTTTCTACTTGGTAATATCTAAATGAAGAGAGAGAGAGAGAGAGAGAGAGAGAGTATAAGGCCTTTGCTTTCATTCTCTTCATGAAGGCATAGTTTTTAAACCACAGCATTCATTGAGTCACTCTTTACACCTCATCTCAAACAAACACACGGACCATGCAATATATGGCATCCACAAAACAATAATAAAAGCAAATCACAAAAGGACACACATCACACATGCAATGAAGACAAACACACACATACACAGAGAGCTATACTGATAAAAAGTACAGGTAAAAGTAATACTAGGCAGTACAGGGATAATGACATAGCATATATGTACATGTAGATACACATACATTGGGAGAGTTGTTAATGAAGCATGTCTCACTCTCAATTATCAAGTGCTGGCTAACAGTTTGTTGCTAATGAATGCATGGACTGATTGACTATGGCCTTGTACCCTACTTTAATGGGTCCAGCAATAAAACAACAACCACTTGAGCTGATATGCTAAAAGTATGTGAAACTAGGAGTAAGTGACATATCCTTCTCTTTATCGGACCGACAAGGTTACTCCTATGCATGTCTGGCCTTGTTCCACTCACTAACATACACAAACACTATACACTCCCTCACTATGACCCCTTTATCTCTCTCTACCTCTTCCCCTGAATTGTGTAGATAGGACACTATGCCACTCCAACATGTGTGCCCCATAAGTAAATATGCAGTCTAAATATAAGTGTCCTGCCTTTGTCTCTCAGTGTATTTAGCAGGCAAACATTGCATGCAGTATATACCATATGAGAAAATAAATTGCCATGTGTTTATAGAGAGAGTTCTCTTCCAGGAATGTTATTACAATGAGCCACTGCTTCTCAAACTTTACAATTTACACACACTTATATACATGTATACACAAACAGCCACTATAGTGTATCAATATTAATCACAATCATGTGTATAAGGATAAGACATTACTTTATAGGCACATAAGCCATTCTAAAGTGACCTTCTATTGATAGGCTCTGATTCTTATTATGGTAGAACCTATTTAGATTCTTATCCTACCAGTGCAGTTAATTCAAGTTGAGCCCTTAGCTTTATAGCATCACAAGCTAGAAAGGAACAGGAGCTGATAGACAAGGAGACTGTATAGTCTTCTCATGTGGAGGCTGGAGTAAATTCCAAGGGAGGAAAGGAAAGAGGAGGTCATACAAACAAAACCTGTCAAGTGTGGAGCTCTCTTACCTACCACTTGACCTTTCACACACAAACACATACAGTGGAGGTAGCTGGATTGGGATATTTCCTTATTTTTCATGAATGGGTTGTATTGATAGTTGAGATATTGATAGGATAACCCCACACAGTACAAGTAAGCAATGAAATAATGCTATATATGGAAACAAAAGGCCTAGCAAAAAAAAAACTGCAAGCAATGCATGCACAATTTAATACCTTTAGATCAATTAATACAGTATAGACATTGCATGCAATTAATACTAAGAATAGTCACTTTTCATTAAGTATTTTCCATTGAAATGATGACATAATTGATTATTATCTACATGGCATTAGTGCATCCCTTAAGTCTCATCCCATGCAAGGTACAGACAGTATAACACGTAAAGGAGAGTATATTAAACCAACGGAGACATCAAAAGGAGACTGCACGCGCCACAATAATCCACACTAATGTAGCTAAGCAACATTATTTAAAGCTGGATCCATTAATTGATAGCAGACAAAGAGAGAGCGAGATCAGCTCATTTGAGTAAAGATGCATCAAAGAGACTTACTGCTCTGATTTCATCATAAAGATCCTTTCCACCCTGGTTGAATCCTCCCAACTCATCTATGGTCTTCAACTGCTCTGATATCACCTCAGCATGCATCCTGACCTCCTCTATGGGAGACAGTATAGCTACCTTTAGTGCATCACTGATTGTACTCTCATTCATACATGAAGGACACTACAGGGAGGAAGGGGGAGAAAGAGGGGGAGAAAAAAGGTTAAGTTATGGTAATTTAATCTCTCATTAAATACAAATAAAAAGTTAATGATGCATGTATTTCTTAAATCAGTTTATTTCTTAATAAAAAACCTTTAGTCATGCAGTGTTTTGTGTGTAAAGGAAATAGAAATAAAGAGAGAAAGGGGGAGAGATAGAGAGAGGGAGAAATAATACGACAGATAATGAGCAATTATTAACAGTTTCATGTTAGTATGTGTGTCAATCATTATAGTCAAGAACAGAAGGCATTTAGAAAATCTCTTATTTGTTATGAAAACACAAGGTCTCCTGAGATCGTCACAACATGATACACACAGCATTGAGGCAGACAGGGTTAATAACTAATTGAGTTAATATGAGGATGAGATTTCACTTTCTGTCTCTCTCATCATAAACTAAATTCAATCACACACAAACACACACACACATACATACATGTACACATGATGTATGAATATTAAAAAGGTGGTTACAATCAGTATTACTTTGTGGAAAAGGATGATGATGATGTTAGCTACTAACATCGCTATAAGAGGAGATCTCCTTTAGTAGCAAAATACCATCAACCATTCCAACCAACTATAACTCAAAACATTTTAATTGGAATTAGAATATGCATCAAACAAATTAAATGCATTTTTAAAGCCAATTTTTGGAAAATATTTCTCCTCATTCTTGATAAATTTACCTTAAGTTGAGCTGATTAGGAATTTAGGAATAAAATTGTCAATTCTTAAAGTACTGGTACTGCTATACATTACAGTTATATATACATGTACATGTACATGCATATAATAAGTACTCTATACTATGCAACAATAAAACCAACGGTTGCTACATTGTACATGTATATGTAGGAGGAAGACTATTAATAGTCAAAGGCAGTGGTATGATCCCACACAAGCAAGTCTTGAATAAAGGGGCTTGTACATAAAGGAATGGTTCTACCAAGAAAAGATTTGAAAGGGCCACCGTTCACGTGCATATTCTTTCATATAAATATAATGAGAGAGAGAGAGGTAGGTACAATGTATATATACTGTGCATTGTAGCATAGTCTCACATGAGACATGCAAGAGCATATAAAAAAAAGATAGAGAGGAAAATGGAGGCAGTCAAATTTTGATCAACTCCCAAAATCTAAATAAAGTAATAACTATAGTCACTTTTATTGCAATTTTTATAAAAAGATAAGAAGTACACACGGAGTAGCTGGTCACATATGCATACATGTACATGCATGTACATATCCAGGAGCACGTACATATATGTACATGTACATGTACATGTACATGTACATATTATGGATAGTAAACTCCAATGTCGTAGTGTTGTGAGTAGAAGCAGGTCTGGTCTTGAAAACAACAGAACGAAGAACTAAAGGCAGTTCCTCTCAAGGGAGATCCATCATTATAATGAAGTTTATAAATGAAGTATCATGAACAATGAGCATGTGTACAATAGATTAAATGTATATCTGTAAACATTGTCTCTACTTATCAATGAGCCTCTGCATATGTGCACATGTAGTAATGCATCAGATAGAAAGTCATAATTGTCCAGATTTAATTTTCTATTTTATCAAGTCAGATTCACAATGTGCACGTATACATAAATGTAGGTATAGCTTAAGGCTTTTCTCTTGCCCTCCCTTAATCTCCCTCTCTCTCTCTCATAGAAAAGCTTTATATGCATGTACATGCATGTGTACTGCAGTGGCTTTCTTTCTCCTAATTCACATTCCATTTATTATCACATGCTTCTCTTCACCACTAACTCCTTAGCCCCTTTCTCCCCCCCCCCTCTCTCTCTCTCTATCTTACCCTCATTCTCATCAACTCTCACTTTATCCATCCTTCTCCAATTAGCCCTTACAATACAGCCAGTCTATAAGACAAATGTACACAGCTAGTACGTGCATGCATCTTATGCAGGCCACATACACAATACTGGCCATGCATCCCTCAGCCAAACAATAAACATAATTAACACTGCAAGTGATAGTAGCTCAATACACCAGACAACCAACAGAACTGGACAATGCTTTCACTCAATGGCTTGTATTGTACTCCTCATTAGCACATGCCTCAACCAGGCAAACACACACACACACACATATATTATTATATTTTGTGCTCAAGGACTTGCATGCATGCATGTATATAGGAGCAGACACATAAACCATGCCTGCAGACACCCACAAATTGCCACCAATTTGGACGGATGCCTGGCATAGTCTTGGTAACGAAGTGAGAAGTATTTCATTAGGGCCAACCATTGGGTGCCTTTGGGGCCATGTCGAGTCAGCATCAATTCCTGCTGGTCTGTCTGTCTGTACATTATTTGATGCAATATGACAATTATATGCATGTACATGTACATGTATATATGCACATGTACATATACATATGTACATGTATAGTATATCTGTATATACAGCATATAATGTACTAGCTGGCCTGTGAAGACAATCAAGCCACATGCTTTAGAATAATAATCATCATTATTACAGTGAGGTTTATGTAGATGAGAAGCATTATAATGATGTCAGGATTAAAATATCACAAAATCGTTAAAAATAAATTTTACTCACATCTACTAATAATATAATTAGCAAAGTCACCAACAGAGTTCTTTAGCAGACACTTACCACACATGAATGAGCTTTTTGGTTAATGTACGTGTACATACGAGTACGTGCTGTTCCTATACATGTCTATCCCATTCAGTTCAATAATTACAGCAAACACATACACACACACACACACAAAGCTATACAGCCCATGCTCATTAATATACCAAACAAACAGACACAATAGCCTGAGGTCTGTTATAAATGTAGAGAGGTACAGAGAGCAGTGAATGGTGACTGTCCTCTGTCTAGAATTTATTGGTTGTAACCAAAAAAACCTCAGAAGTAATAAAGAATGAAGGGAAGGCAGTACTTACAAACACCACACAGGGTTGAATAGAATGAGTGAGAAATCCATGCTACAATATTATCATCAATGTACGTGTACAGTGTATGTGTACATTGTACATGTATGCATAGGATACATTATGTACATGTATATGTGCAGTTTTTCCTTGTCCTTTTTTTATTAGATTATAAAGAGACTGCCTTGAGGAAAGCTCCCAGACTCATCAATGAAGTGAGATGGTTAGACTGAGAGGGGCCTAGGAGACTTTGAAGTGACCAGTCTTCTAAGAAAACACTATTTGAAATTCAAACAGGCATCTTTGAAGCTAGCCCTCTCAGCCCAAGGGGTTGGAGTCTAGAGACAATAGGCAAGCCTTCTCTGCCCACAAGGAAACCATTAGCCCTTCCTACCTCTCAGGAGAAGGGCCAAACAACATTAGGACACTTAGGGAGACAAGAGTGTGAAGAGAGGGAGGCTAATGTCTGTGCATGAATTGGGTAATTGATGAAAAACTAGAAACAAAATCAGGAAGAGAGAGAGAGGGGGGGAAGGCCTAGGGCATTAAAATTAACTGTATATACTTTCAATATAAAAAAAGACAAATATATAATTAAAATACTGGGAAAAAAATGTATTCATATACTCTTCATTTTAAATTAAACACTTATACATGCACCATGCATTATGCAGGGAATATACAGAACATGTATAAGAGGAAGGGGATTAAGACTTTATACACACTAACCACGGTACATGTACATGTAATATGATGTGGTTCATGTACATGATGTACATGTACAGCATGTGTGCTGCTGGGGAAAGCAATTTGAATTTTAAACTCTAATTCCTGGCATTGCTGGCAGACAACACACTTGAGTAGGTTACTAGGCTACTTAGAGGTGACTATAAATACAGCCATAATCCAGGGCTTTACCTACTCTTTGATTAAGCAGGAAGAAAAACGTGCAATGTACATGCATATAGATATGTACATGTACATGTACATACGTGACTTGGATGTGTGCAGGCATCAGTATGCAAGATGAAGGTATAGATATTTAGGAGAAAAACCTTACAATCTAAGATAAATAATAATTATCTAATCCAAATGGTGGAAACAATAACAATGGTTGGTCCAGTATAAATAATACAAAAGCACATCAGCTTTAGATTGGACACATAAGGTGACAATGATAACAGAGGGGAAACCTTAATATACCCATTAACTGTATGAAGATATATTATGTAACAAGGCTGGAGGAGTCTAATGTGAACCATTTGGTCTATCAAAATAAAAAACACCTGCAAGGCTACATCAGCACACCACTGGTCTCTGTAATGATAGACACCCACATAACAATAATAATAATAATAATAATAATATTAGGTACTGTATGTACATACACATATGTACATGCATGTACATATTATATTAGTACATGTACATGCATGTACATGTACATGCATGTACATGTACATATAGGTTTCATATCCTAGTGAGTATAAATACATACATGTAGTAGTGGAGGAGTATCATTATGAAGTACATGATAGTCATTGGCTTACAGAGACAGTAGATTAGATTGCATTGGACTACTAGTATATAGCAGCATACAGTATAGAATATCTCATTAATGGAGTGGTCGTATGGATAAGCCAAAGGAAATTAATTAGTAAGCTACATGTATATGTATAAGTGATATAACAAGTCCAAGGACCATCACAAAAGTGAAGCTACATTTAAGTATATTATAATGATTACGTGTACATGTACTGTATACATTACATTCATGAACTCGTTATTCTCTCACCATCTTAAACAAATGGATTAGCAGATGCTTGCATTTCCTTCTGGCCGAGGCTAGCTGGTCAGCAACATTCATTGATACTCCTGAGGATAGTACCAATGGAGACCGCGAGGGAACTAGAGGGGCAGGAAGGTTAGGAGAAAGAAAATAGAATATTAAAAGTATAACTGTAAAATGCAATACGCAATACGTCAAAATGTAATATGTACATGTACATGTACATATGCACATGGCTGCATAATCTGCATAATTATTATAAAAATCAAATTTGATTGACAAATAAAAAAAACATCAACAATACGACGTATCTTCTGTAACTGAGCATGACAAAATGGCACAAACAAGTAACACAAGACAATATATTAATCATTGTAATGCGAATATGTACCTCCTGGATCAGTCAGTCTCTGGCTTAGCTTAAGACGGAAAGGCTGCTGTCCTTTCTCCATTTCTTCGGACGGGAGGTCCAGCTTTGTGAGGACAACACCAAGTTTATCATTGTGTGAAGCAAGCTATAGAGAGAGAGAGAGGGAGAGAGAGAGCGAAAAAGAGAGAAGACAAAGAGAGAAAAGAGTTTAAATACAGGATGTATGCGGGAGAGGCTCAAAGAGAAGGAAATGTAGGGAGGGACAAAGACAAGAAGGTGGAAGGGAGGGATAGTGTGGTGGAACAGGTCACCATAATTAACATTGTCATATGACTCAAGGAAACTAAATGATTATTAATAGAGACGTACACGTACTATTTCAGCTTTGTATTTGACTAGAAGATTGTGGAGTGTGGCTATTTCTGAAGGGGATATCTCAATGGCAATGTCTTTCCTGCTAACAGCGATGTACTCCTCAAGCTGGAGCTGCTCATGGAAATCTGATACCTCACAGAGATCGCTTAGAAACATCTATTGAATAGAAGAATAATAATAATGGTACTGATAAACTTTAAACTGCACCCTCTCTCCGAATCTTCTGCCCTTTGATCATTTGCCTCTCCCTCTCTCTCCCTCCTCTCTCTCTTTACAAAAAAGAAAGCTTAAAAATACGCAGATACAATTGATTACATTTACACGTACAATGTACATGTATATGTACTGGATTAATTCTCTCTGTCTCTCATACTTTTAATCTTTCATTGTGCGTCTTTACAAAATGTTCCAGTGGGAGCATGTAGCTCTCACGCACGCTCGAAGTATTAGCTAACTTCTGTATCAGTTTAGCAACCTAGATAATAAATAAATAATAAAAACAACAACAACAACAATAATGACATTAGAGTATAATGGATTTCAAAAATATGCCAATTTCTGGAAGAGCATGGATGACATGTGTTCATATTACCATATAGGGGCTATACATGTATTTTACTGGAAATAAATTTCGCTAATTTCGCGTTTTTATTAAATTTGCGAAAAAATTAAATAGGTGTGGCACACTAGAAAAATACCTACAGAAGGTAAGATTCATGAAAATTTATACCAACAAATGGTACATCTGAACAAATTTGCAAAATTTTATGCCAACAAAATAAAACCCCTACACAGTATTATTATATAGTTATACCGACCAGTGTTAGATTTCTTCTTGTTTGCTGCGATGGTATTTGAGACAATAACTGATAAGCTAAAAATTGAGACAAAAAATAAATTATTTTGGGCAAGTGTATGTGTGGTGGTTTCTAACCATGGGGAGTGGCTATGATTGGATTAACATATCGTAATATGAAAAACCCTCCGATAAATGAATTGATTGTTTCCGACGAAGCTGACGTGAATTTCTCCTTCAAAAAAAAAGTGACAAATTATAGACAAAGAATTTAAAAAATATACAATGGCGCATCTATTCTCAGTCTCGCTTTTTACATATATGTTAATAAAAATAAAATAAAATAAAATAATAATAATGTTATAATTAATATTCCCTTACTTGTACTAATAATTTCGTTGCTTTACATAACCATCTTATGCCATAAGGGACTCTGCTGATTGATTCTTTCAGTAGCTCCAATATCTTCATAACAAATCTCTCTAAAACTGGAGCTCGTGCAATAATAATGTTAAGGAATAAATTATACTTAGTAAATTTATGCTGCTATTCTTTCCTTATTATTATTATTATTTATTACTATTATCATTATTATTAAGTACCATTACTATTATTATTATTATTATTATTATTATTATTATTATTATTTATTACTATTATCATTATTATTAAGTACCATTACTATTATTATTATTATTATTATTATTATTATTTATTATCATTGTTAGGATATTTTCTTGTATTCTTTTGTGGACGGTGGCATTGCTCTCAGCCTCAGCAAGTCTCACACTCGTGGACTCATCCACTCTCTCCACTTCACCGTCTTCCACCATCCTCTGATAAATCTAATGTACCGATGAATAATGATCACAATAAATTGTTGATCAAAGAACATATTATGTACGCTACATAATAGTACAGGGTATTTTTGTTGAAAATGACTAGGTGAGAATCCCTCAATTTAATAATTTTTTCTGATACATATACATGTTCTTATGTTGCGTAGAAAGTTTGAGTGGAATCTGATCAAGTTTGGATTTTTTATGAATTTTTTAAGTTGCCCAAAAATCTGGCCAAAGTCCCTGTACTATAGTACAGGGTCTCGGGCCAAAATTCACCAAAAATGACTAGGAGAGAATTCTCAATTTTTATAATTTTTTCTGATACATATACATGTACTTATGTTGCGTAGAAAGTTTGAGCTCATTCCGATCAAGTTTGGATTTTTTATGAATTTTTAAAATTGCTCAAAAATCTGGCCAAAGTCTCTGTACTATAGTACAGGGTCTCAGGCCAAAATTCGCCAAAAATGACTAGGAGAGAATTCTCAATTTTTATAATTTTTTCTGATACATATACATGTACTTATGTTGCGTAGAAAGTTTGAGCGTATTCCTATCAAGTTTAGATTTTTTATGAATTTTTAAAGTTGCTCAAAAATCTGGTCAAAATCCCTGTACTATAGTACAGGGTCTCGGGCTAAAATTCGCCAAAAATGACTAGGAGAGAATTCTCAATTTTTATAATTTTTTCTGATAGATATACATGTACTTATGTTGCGTAGAAAGTTTGAGCATATTCCAATCAAGTTTAGATTTTTTTATGAATTTTTAAAGTTGCTCGTTCTCACTTTCAGAGGGTCTATTTCCAGTGAGCCATCATAAGCTGCTAGTTCCTCAATCACGCTCTCCAGAGCTGTTCTTACATATTCCTGACCTGGACCACGTCTAAAAGCAACAAAAATAAATGAAAAGGAAGAAAATCGCATGAAGAAAAAACAACAAAGAAATAATATTTAAATTACTCAGATTTTAAAAATAATCATACCTGCAGTAAGTTGTCATCATTCTAGTAATTGCAGTATTGGCTCTCATTAAACTATTAATCTCAGTTGCCTCTTGTACCTCATATGTTAATGCATACTGCAATGAATATAAAAGGAGAGACAAAGAGAGAGAGAGAGAGAAATATAAAAAGCATTACAGTCAATACAATGATAGTAATAATAATAATTTTTATTGTTATCAAAGTACATGTACATTTTCTGTACCTCAAACATTGATAAAAGTAAATGCTCTTCTCTGTCCTCGTATTGATTACCATAAAGTGAAAACATGACTATCTGTAGGAGACCTATCAATGCAATCCATTATACATACATATTAATAATAATATAGTTTAATTACCATCGATTTCTTTCTGAGAAACAGATCTGGCTAATTTAGCAATGTACTCAGGGCTAGTTTGTAAAATGAGAAATAGTTCGCCATAAATCTAAAAATAATACTTGTAAATTAAACGTACAATTTATATAGCACATATCACAAAGGCTTTCCCCATAATAATAAAATACAACATTTGCAATAGACAATAAACTAACCTCAGGACTATGGATACCCTTGAACATAACTAGAAGAGATCAATAGAAAACAAAAGAGGGTGAACAGAGAAAAGTAACAGAGCACGAGAGAGAGAGAGAGAGAGAGAGAGAGAGAGAGAGAGAGAGAGAGAAGGAGGGGAGAGAGAGAGGGGGGAGAGAAAGAGAGAGAGAGAGAGAGAGAGATTCTTACTCGTTGAATGAGGATAGCTATCACTAAGTTGACTCTCAACTTCCTGAAAAAAGAATTAACAAAAAATAACAAAAATAAAGTAGGAACAATCAACAGCACTGCAATGCATATACACACATTATACTTCACTCAATAAATTATAACAAAATATCTTGGCACGACTCTAATACTAGTTTACACTTAATCAGCCAATTTTGAAAAACAGCCAAAAAGCAGAAAACAAAAATAACCACAATCTGTATATAATATAGTGTTATATGAAAATGACAACATTTCTATACAACTATGCAATATATCACTTTATTATTATTATTATTATTATTATTATTATTATTATTATTATTATTATTATTATTATTATTATTATTCTTATTGTTGTTGTTGTTGTTGACATTTTTTGTTGGTGTCATTTACTTCAATTGATATCTTGTGAGTGATAAGGAGAGCAATTTTAGAGTCAAAGAACTTGAGATCTTTCTCTAATTTGTAATTCTTTTTACTCATCTGCGTTATCTGATCCTTGATCTTTCTCAATTCGGCTTGATCTAAGAAAATAAGGATTTTATAATCACAGTTATACTCCTCCACATATAAAAATAAAAGATTATATGAATATTAGAAGAATTAAAGAATAAAAGAAAGAGAGAGAGAAGATGACAAGCAGAGACTACATTATTACTATAACATTCAATAAACCATTAGGAAACAGTAACCAAACAATTAGCTAATGAGCATGCCGGTAGATGTACAGTCAATAGAGTACAAGTAGTATGATTACTAATAGATGATCATAACTTCTCGTGCTGTATAAGCATAACCTTCTTCTGTGTTCGCACAAACACACATAAAATGCAATCAACTCTTAATCTACAAACCTATCAATGTCTCTATGGGATTTCACACGTATCAATGACACTAGATACAGAACAATCTAATACAGTAGGAGCCTTTGGAGAATTACCCTTTCTCCTTAACTCTTTCCCTCTCCATTTCTCCCTTTTCATACCCAACAAACATTCTTTATGTACATGTAAGCCTACGTGTATTATAAAGTGAAATTGTAGGAAAGTGAAGGGAAGAATGAGATATGTTGGACCACTTGATCTCTTATTACAAGTACATGCACACACAAACATGCATTCTTAACTCTCCCACTTGTATACATCATACATGCACATGCCAATCTAGCCATTCCACACATAAATGTACTTGATCCCTCTCTCTCTCTCCTCCCTCCCTCCCTTCCCCTCCTCTCTCTCTCTTCCCTTCTCTCTCCCTCCCTCCTCCCTCTCTCTCTTCCCTCCTCTCTCCCTCCTCCTCTCTCTCTCTCTTTGCCCATTATGTACAATGTCAGTACAATGCAGTGTCACTGTGGTGTGGATAGTTGCATGTACTGTACGTGTATGTACATGTACATGTACTTGTTTGTGTGTACACTGAAGCCAGTCAATATTACTATGCAAAGTGACCCACCTAACACACACAGAGAGTGAAGCACACTCTGTGGTCATAGGATTACGGTCTAATGGTCTATTAGACAAGTAATTCGGTTACTACAGATATGATAGAAATAGTCCCTCTCTCTCTCTCCCTTCCTCTCTCTCTCTCTCTCTCTCTCCCTCCCTCCTTCCCTCTCTCCCTCCCTCCCTCCCTCTCTCTCTCTCTCTCTCTATGCAGACTGCAGTCACTGAGTCTTGTTCATCATCAGTGAATATTATCAGGTATTGACTGGAACAAGGTAGGACTAAGCAGGCTACACTAGATGCAGCTGCCAATTCTGATTATTGCTTTGTTTGCTAACAAAGAAATGGAATGAACATACACACACACACACACACACGCACACACACACACACACACACACACGCACACACAGACATAGATATACATACACAATGTACATGTACATACAGTACCAATGGTAGATAGATAGTGCTTATAATAAATTCCATGGTGATGCTATATTAGTAACACGGTAGCGCTACTAAGTAGGATTCACCCCACTTCAAAATGGCTGCCACGACTTTTGCAGCCTTTAATACCAGGAGAGAGGATCGAAAATGAAAACCTCACGTTCAATAAACAAATACATGTACATGTAACTATATATATAATTTCAACACTTTACCAATATACATAAATGAAGGTATACACATCCACCCATGGAATAAAATGACCATATACCATCTCAAGTACATCTACATGGTGGATGAATGATCTTATTCTCCCATTCCAACTTTATAGTCACAATAAATAAGGATGTACATGTACATGCAGACAGCTCCTCAAGGCAAATATGTCATTCAAAAGAATAGAATGTCCATTTATAGTGAGAGAGATTCGTGTAAACTGTCCTGTGTATGTTATACAGGTGATATAGTACAATAACAATAATCTGGTATGTGGGCTGAGTTAGCATTGGCGGGGCACTATGATGATCAGGTATCAGTGTACACAGGAATTGGAGGGTTGATGTACTAGCTGCTATCACACACACTAAGTTTTGCTAACAGTAATTAGCTGTTAAGTATCAACAAATGTCAATTATAATTGTTTAGACTATAATATGCATGAACACATTATGATAATAATCATTATAATTATTACAATCTTCAGGAGTCAAAAAAGACTGAAACCAAAACTCACACAGAGTAAGTCTTAAAACAACTTTTTCTTGTGAAAAGAAAAATAACTAAAAAGGTACAAGATAATGGTCATTAATTATACCTCGAAACCCCCTCTATCACATCCCCCTCTAATATCACTTGGTCCCCCCCTCTCTCTCTATCTCTCTCTCTCCTATTTTCTTTACTAATCACATTACTATGAAGACCTAATTTCACACGTTGCTGATTGTTATGACTACACAAGAATCATCATCCCAAAATGGCAATTAACAACAAAATGAAAACAAATAATCACAAAATCTTTTTAAAAAACCAAACACAAAACAAACACGGAGACAACACAGTAATTATACATACATGTAACAGCATGATATTAGTTCATTGGTCTTACTTAGAGCCAGTGGACAATCACCATTCATGTAACAAATGAAATCAATATAATGTATGTATATGTACATGTACATGAATGTGTGTGTGTCATAATTGTAGTCAAGAGTATGTATCTGTATCATATGTTCATAGTGACTTATGTTAGAAAATATGAATTAAATTAAAATAACACAGTCAACCACATGTAGATAATTAATGTTGACTACTACATGTCAGGGAAACTGATAACAGGAACATGTAGTGGGACATTGTTAGTAAGAGATAAGAGGAGGGGATAATGGGGGAGTGAGAGAGAGAGGGAGAGGGAGAGAGGAGAAATGAGAGAGAGAGAAAGAGAGAGGGAGGAGAAATGAAAGAGAGAGAGGATAGAGATGAAGGAGAGAGAAGGAAAGGAGACAGAGAAAGGAAGAGATAAAGAGGAGAAAGAAAGGGAGAGATAGAGAGGAGAAAGAAGGGAGAAGAAAGAGTGCTTAAGGAAAAAATGAGAATCTATGCTTAAAGAAGTACAAATGTAGCTTGACTTACATATTTGATACTCATCCTGCTCCTGAGCAAGAAAATGACCAGATACATCAAGACTGGTGCTTCTGACTGTCTTCACAACTACTGGTTCACTGTAGCCCTCCTCTCCCTCATCATCCTCAATCTCTCCATTAGCTGTGGGCTGTTCCTCAACTTGGCTTGAAGACCCAGAATTGGCCTCTTCTGTATTCTCAGAGTTCATCATTATGATCTTTGCCCTCCCATCTTTTAAACTATGCCTAGGGGTGGCCATGTCAAGACTACTGGAGGAAGGGTTGTTGGCCATCACTGGTCCTTGCTGGGTGCTGAGAAGGAGCTGATTATTAGTGCTCGTGGTGTTACTGTTGGTGGCCATGGTTTCCTGAATTTGTGCTGATGATTCCAGGGCTAGAGAGCTTTAAAACCTACCAATAAAAAGAGGGAAGCCACAGTCATTTATGCTCTAGAGGTTCTGCTCCTGTAAGGCTCAACTATAATGATAAACTCACTTTAAAAAATTCTTAGAAATTCTTCATTTTTCTGTCTCGTTTGATTTGCTATGATGGGATCACGTGACCAAGAGCTAATATTATTCATTGGTAAAAATTAGATTGGAAATCAATTAATAAAGTTTTTAGCCTCGCCTCAAAAAGAAGATTTAAAATGGCGTCTAGCAGGAAGCTACCTCTTTTTATCTTTCCAGAAGAGCTGAGATACGATGAAGGAACAAACAAGCAAGTCCTTACCATATACAATCCATTTGAAGTCTCTCTCAAGTATAAAAGTAAAGTTGACTAGATTCACTCTAAAACAAAAGTATTTAAAAAATAATAAAACTTTAGTTCTTTGCACAGTCCCTCATAAATACAGAGTAATGAATTCACAAGGAGTCCTCAAGCCACAGTGCTGCATTGACATGTAAGACAAGTAACGTTTATCCCTCATTCACATGCTGTACTATTATTATTATCATCATCATCATCATCATCATCATTATTATTATTATTATTATTATTATTATTGCAGCGTTATTGTACGATTGAAGCAAGGTGGTGAAAGAGAGGAGCCAGAAGAAGACAGTGTTGTAGATGGAGACGTCGACAAGTTTTGTGTTGAACTCTATCAGGGAAGCAAGCTCTTTGGACAGAAACAAATCATATCTAAACTCTGCTCTCAAAAGAGAAAACATAAGATGGATGAAGTAAGAGAGAGAGAGAGATAAGTGTATAAGAGATACATAGTACTGTTAATCAATTTTTAATGCATGCATATCTGCATACTATATATATATATACTATTAGTGTCTCAATTCCAACACTGTAGATCAGTGAGTTTAAAGAGCTACCAGTTAGAACAAGACCCAATGAACAAAGACAGCTATTAATTCACACTGGAGGTCAGAGAGAGAGAGAGGGAGGGAAATAGACCCTGTAGAGAGGCTGTTGTCACAATTCTCTCATTATTTAGGCTACACAACTCCTAGTACTTGGCTAACAGTCATCATTGGTTTATTGTCGCTACTCATCCTTTTGTTACCTCTTGATGGAGAGAGCTCGTCGTGGCCTCCATGGCTCCATGTTACAGTTAATATGAAACTAATAGCATCATTTGTATTAGGTAAAGACACACACACACACACACACTCATAAAAATATTCATAAACACAACAAATGGTGTATTTGTTGGCTTGTTGTTACACTGCATAGCCAAGACTGCTTTGTTAATTATAAACTCAGTCATACTAGTCATATTAGTCAGTCGTGCTATTATAGATGTGTGTGTATGTACACTATAAGCACAATGCCATCAATGCTAAATATCTCCATTGTAAACAAGCATTAGTAGCAGCTGCTGCAAGATTTATTTAAATATTTATTATATTTTTTAGGTCTGGTTACAATGGCAATACTCAAATCATAAGAAACCAATTATCACTTACAATGTATGTACATGTACATGTACATGTATAATGTATTCAGTTCCATCAGTCACTTTCAGAATCAGTACTACTCTCTCTTCTCTTGTGTTTCTTTTTACTGCTCCTCTTCTTTTCTTTCTTGTGTTTCTTCTTGTGATGACGACTGCTCGACGACTCCTTCTTCTTATCTCTCTCTGATCCTTTACGTACCGGAGACAAATCACTGTCGCTCTCGTACGAAGAGCTACTCCGCCCATGAGACAAGTAATCTGAAGAACTGTGTCTCCTCCCTCGTCTGTCCCTCCTATAAGGAGAAGGACTCCTCCTCCTCTCCCTAGGGGAACGGGAACGGTGACCCCTTGACCCACGTCTGTTCACTGGGGACCTCCTCCTGTCGCTAGGGGACCTCTTCCTGTTGCTAGGGAAGTCAGGGGATCTTCTCCTCCTACTTCCAGGGGATATAGAAGACCTTCTCCTGTCTCTGGGTGAGTCCGATCCTCTTTTGTAGTATCTTCTGTTAGGAGGGGAACGAGAGTAGCGCCTATAGCCTCCATCCCTCCCTCCGTATCTTCTCCGGGGACTTCCTGATCGTCTCGAGTTTCTCCTGTTACTAAATATAGAGACGATTGAGACACGAAATAATTATACACAACATGTGGGTGGATATGTGTATATATCTTTCCTTATTCTTGTTATCGTATTTTGATGATAAACCAATATGACCTGTTTGCATAACAATTGTCATTTGCTTATTTGCATAATATAAATGTATATACTTCTATTATATCATATACAGTTTATATTATTATTATATAGTATAATTTGCATCATTCTTCAATAATGATAACAATAATAATAGTAATAATCATTTACTTACTTTCCGTCATCTTCATTCCAGTTGAATTTGCCGTCAGGATTATTAAAAACGTGGAGAAAATTGCAGTGCTTCCCTTTAGGGCATTGACTTCCTAGAGAGAAACAAATTAACGGTTAATAATAATTCTTTTAAAAACTCTACCCAAAACCATAGTCTAATACATGTCGCCTTCTTTAGCAATTTTAAAATTTAAAAAAGATCCAATTTTCATCGGAATGAGCTCAAACTTTCTATGTAACATAAGAACATGTATAGGTATCAGAAAAAGTTATACAAATGGGGAATTCTCTCTTAGCCATTTTTGACAAAATTTGGCTCGAGACCCTGTACTATAGTACAGGGATTTTGGCCAGATTTTTGAGCAACTTTAAAAATTCTTAACAAATCCAAACTTGATCGGAATGAGCTCAAACTTTCTACGCAACATAAGAACATGTATATGTATCAGAAAAAATTATAAAAATAAAGAATTGTCATCTAGCCATTTTTGATGAAATTTGGCCTGAGACCCTGTACTATAGTACAGGGATTTTGGCCAGATTTTTGAGCAACTTTAAAAATTCGTAAAATATCCAAACTTGATTGGAATGAGCTCAGACTTTCTACGCAACATAAGAACATGTATATGTATCAGAAAAAATTATTAAAATGGGGAATTCTCTGCTAGCCATTTTTGACAAAATACCCTGTATTTGGCCAAATGTTGAAGCAACTTAAATAACATCAGTAATTTATTACTACTTGGAGCTATGTAGCTCAATCTATGATACTACTGTACTAGTATACACCTGCTTTAAGCCTTTCCTCACCTTGTTTCAAAAATTCTCCACAAATTGCTGTCTTCCATTTCTCTACTGGACAATATTCACACGAAAGCTGTTTCCCAGCATAATACCGTCCATTGAATTGCTTAATGGCCGCAGCACAAGCTTCTTCACTAATTATGAAGAAAGAGAAATATATATAATATTAAATCTTTTTCTTATCTTTTTTCGTATAATTTTTACAAATTCTACAAGAACATACGTTGAATACTGAACGTAAAGGTTTCCTCTTAGGTGAGACTCGTAATTACAGGAAACCTATTTTATAGTCGGGTCAAAAACCACGTCAGATCAAAACCTTTTTCTCAAACCTTAAACTGAACCACTTCACCAAATTTTTCAAACTCTGGGAACACATCTTGGTAAAACTCTTTGAAATCTTTCAACATGTCCTCATCATCCATCTAATAATAACAATAATAATAGCAACAACAATAATAACAACAACAATAATAACAACAATAACAACAACAACAATAATGACACAATAATAATAACAAGAATAATAACAACAACAATAATAATAATAACAACAACAATAACAACAACAATAACAATAATAATAATACTCTTCCTTGTACCTCTAGTCCCACGTCTTCATCGTGTTCGTCCAATAACTGCTGAGTCAGCACGACGTGGTTGTACATCCCACGTATAATCAAGGTGGTGCTGCTGTTTGGAATCGGATGGACTCGGGAGCAGTGGTCACCATAGCGACAGGCACCCGTCTTTATAAAAAACGGGCAATTAATCTTATCCTAAAAAGAACAAAAACAACAATAATAATAAATAATAATAACAATATTAATAATAATATTTGATTTCTCTCTTACCTTTTCCGTCCCATAGTTGTCCTTCTGAGGCGGTTGTTCCTGATTCTCTTCTCCATGCCCTTGCTTCTCTGTCTTCTCATTGTCATCGTCTAGGAGGTTCATGGCCTTGGCAACCTTTGCCATGTCTATTGGAGCATACGGGTTGTGCCACGGCTGGGAAGAAGAGAACAAGAGCTCAGGGAATTCTTAAAACATACTTCAAGACTTGAATCATCATTGAATTGAGATGAGTAGAGTAGTAGTGAGAGAGAGAGGGGGTGAGGGGCTAAAAGTACTCTGTGTATGAGTGTTTGTCACAATTAACAACCAAAACCTTATATTGGCTTGGGGGAGAGTTCAAAACAGTGATGGGAGACTTCCCTTGTCTTACCATGTGTACATCTAGAAGGTTTCCTTGCTCTTGCATTGTTTGGTCAATCTCTGATAATGCTTTTTCTAACAATTCCTAGAGAAAGAGAGAGAGAGAGAGAACATTAAGAATTGGTAAAAAAATACAAGGATTTTCCCGGCCACCGCCATTGGATTAGTATTACTAAAATTTAATTGCTTGCCCCCTTTTAAAAAGATTATCCCCCTTGGCCGAAACCCTATCAATAAAATAACGAGATCTCTTTACCTCTTTCTTACTCTTTGCTTTCTCTTTATTTTCTTTTGCTTGTTTCTCCTTCCGTTCGAGAGCTTCCCACTCTTCTCTTATCATTCTCTAGTGATACGAGTCTCTCGTGATACTTTGCATGTAGAACACATGGTGACCTTACCTCTCTTTCCTCTCTCTCTCTTAATTTCTGTTCCTCTTTCTCTCTCTTTTCGCAAAACTCTGCGTGACTCTTTCTGTCTCTTTCTAGCCAAGCTTCGTACTGCAGCTGCCTAAAGATCATACAATAATAAAATCAAGAGCATAATTAGGCATAAATAACATTAAAAGTAGCAATTTTAGTTTGGGCACACTTATTCTTTGTATAAACATACAAGCATGTACATTAAAGGTATGTTAAATAGCTCAATTCAAATTAATAATAATAATTGTGTTTGCACCTCTCGGCCTCTTCCTTTTGAACTCTCCTTTCTTCTTCTGCTAGCTTTTCGCTATTAACATACAACTAATATATAATAGTTTATATAAAATATAAACTACTCACGCGTATTCCGGTTGAAGCTTTAATCTCTCAAACTCTATCAAAAAAATAGCTACAGAATGAATTTTAAGACTTCACCTTCTTCAGCTTCAGCTCTATCTTGTGCTATTTTCTGTCTCAGTCTCCGTCTCTTCTCTTTCTTTATTAATCTTCGTCTCTCTTTATGACTATATAAACTAAATTCATAGTCACAGGCTGCAGGAATATACCTTAATGTGATCCACTCAGATTTTGGAATCTCCAATACCATGAGGCATCCATGTAGGGGTGTGGCTTTTAAAAAGGCGTGGCCAACTTTGAGCCCCGCCCGATTTTTTGCTGTGCATGCAATGTGCAAATGCAAGCAAGCAAGCCTGCAGCAGCTTGCTTGCTCCTATTGAATGATTTAAAGTAGTTGCATGAGTTTACAATTTAACTAGCTTAAACAATGTATATAATAATTATCTTTCTTGCCATGAGTGGCTCCATGAGTGATTCTTGTCATTTAGTAACTGGACTAGCTTTTTATTGAAATGTTTGAAGAATATTTTAAGTTTAATTCTTGTCCATGTCGACATCTGGAGATGAACATCACGACGATAATCAAATGAAAGTTGTGAGTTTTCCCCTTTGCTAACCCAATCATGATTTGTCACCCAGTACTTGGCTTTTGGTGGCTTATATTGTCTGGGATCAGAAAATGAAGGATCAAAATCGACATTGATATGAATGCGGTGTGAATTGATATGCCCAAACAGAGTATCATTAGATTGTAGTGTCAGATTGATGCTAATATTCCAACATATACTTTGACTGTTATTGTTGCTCTGCTCTGGTGAAAGAAGAACTGTTTTGAGCAACTTAATAATGTTAATAGCATCTTCCAATGCTTTTCCT